CAGAACTATAAGAGAGATCATAGATATTTAAATAATTTTTGATGGGATATAAGTCCTGTTTTTTTTTTTAAATATGGCTGAAATAATTGCAGTGTTGACACAGTGATGATGTTGAAGGGAGACAGCCTTTTATCTATGCTAGCTGTTTTGTCAGATACTGGTTTCTTCAATTTGAATGAAGTTTCTGAGCAAGTGTTAGTTTAACCATATGTACAAATAGTGTCACTATTGCAAGAAGTAAGGATTCAAACAAGCAACACTGAGTGAAGATCTGTCATCAAATTGAGATCTTTTGAAATTGCACATTATTACAGCTGGAGGGAAAATACCCTTTCAGTCCTAAAGCAGGAGGAAACCTCAAGGCATTTGTGATTGGATTGCAGTCAGAATAATTTAAAAGCACATGCAACCAACTTATTTGGATCACTCTACAAATGATTTTTGTTAGAGTATTTGGCAGCAGTTGCATGCATTTCACAGCATTACTGTCTAATCAAACCCTGCCTTTGGCCATCTATAGAAATTATCTCTCTGTGCCCTCTGCATCTTCTCAAAATTGAACGTATCTGTGACATATAGTAACTTCTTTTTCTTCTTTCCTTTCATTACTTTTTCCCCCCTGTAATTGTGCATTTTAATCATCAGTGAGCTTTTCGTTATTGCAGAGGAACACCTTTTGCTGAAGTGGCACGTCAGGAAGCTATTGGGAAATGGTCTTGCTTCTCAGAAAAGGGCAAGGGAAGTTTTATTTCCAAACTTGAGGATTCTGCAGAGATACCTAGTCTGTATGGAAGGGGTGATGCATGTGGTCTTGAAAGCTTCTTGTTTGGAAAGTGCAACAACTCAGTGGAAGTCTTTGTGCACCAGAATAGCTGGACAATGTGAAGTGGCTACTCGGTGAATGGACACAAAATCTAAAATCTACCCTAAGCAGCTGTAACTTGGGTGGTAGGAGATAAGGCTTGGAGACTGCTTTTGGATTGTAATGTGGCCCACTTACTACTCTAAAGCCTCACATGCCAAATTGAGAAGTTCTGTTTGCTCTTTGCATGGAGAATACAGATCTCCCCAAAGCAAAATAGGAAGCAAACTAACCTGGCAGAGTGATGGATTCCTCATGAGAAGGAAGGCTTGTGCAAGCAACGTGGCATTCATTTGATCATAACTTCTTTAACTATGGGTTCTACATATTTAAAATTCTGAATTGCAGAACCACTTAATTCTATTATATAGGAGGAAGGGCCCAATCACGCAGTGTGAGATTTGCTATGTACCAGAAGTCTAGGGCTGAGTTTTAAAAAATGGAGAGAGCTCTCCAGCATTGGAGAGATATGCATTCTCAGGTTGTAACAGTTGAAAAACTGCCAAACGCTAAGTTACAGGCTGTTATGGTTGGTAGCAGTCATTTCTTTCCAAAGAGTATCTTTCTAAGCAGGCCCACATTGTGGAAACATGAACTGCATTTATAAATGAGGTCTGGCCATGCCCAAGACAAACATTCAGTCATGAGGGAAAGAGGAAAAGGGAGAGTCATTATATGGAAATGAGAAAAGGACATAAAGTAGGAGTTGTTGCTACTCTCTAAGACATAACTAGGTAACTAAAAAAAGTAGTTTTTAGAAATCACTGTTGCTAACACAAGTCAGTGAGATGCTCCAGTGTTAGCGGTGCTGCAGTCACTGGATCACAGGATGTTTGAGGTTGACCACCTCTGGAGGCCTTCTGGTCCACCCCATTTGCCCAGGCAAGACCACCAAGAGCGAGATGCCCAGGAACATGAGCAGTCCTCCTGTAAACTATGTCTTCTACCTGCTGCCTCTGGAGCTCAAACATGATGTGGGTTAGATTCTCTGCTGATCAGTCTTACCTGACCTAGTACTCAAGCAAAACAAACAGAAGCAGTAGGCAGACCCTTTTGTCTGAGGTCTTCACAGTTGCCAATTACTTTAAAGCAACAGTGAGAACATTTTCCTGGTGTCGACAGGGTCATTGTTATGTTTTCAGAAGGGCTATTTTTATACAGTGACTCATGTTAACGCCTGTTCTGATTTGGTGTTTTTCCATCTTCTCTAAAAATGCAGCAGGGCTAATGCAAACCCTGTATAATTTCACTCACTTACAGATTTTACCACCAGGGTAGAGTTTGGCCATAGAGTTGAAAATAGGTGATGACCCCAGTCGCAATGTAGGTTTCCTCTGGCAGGAAAGCTGACATAAGTAATTTTGCCCCTTCAACTCCATAGCTGTGCTATGAATTCTTTTCTTCATGTTGCTGTTGTCAGTTGTTTCAATGCAGGGTGTTGTGGGGATGGCCCAAGAGAAACTGTTCTTAACATTTGAAAGGGGAAAAAAACAACCACAACAACCTGGAGTTTTTGAGGGTTGTTTGCTTGGGTTAGTTTTTTTTGAGGACACTTTTAAAACTACGCTCTCTTTCCATTTTAGATATCCAGGCTGAGTGTTGTAGTGGCTGTTGTATCAGGGTAGTTGTAAGCTCTGGCTGTAGGTGGGAGAGGAACATCTTAGCCCCTTGAAAAATGTTTGGATTCGCTCGACCTTGAAATAAAAGCATGTGTTCTTAGGTCTTGCAATACTGCCATGAAAGCTAATAATTGTGTTTAATGCATCGTAAGACTTGCTCCTACATGTGTGGGTGTGAAAGGGATGGGGACAGTAGAGCTTAAATCTCTTGTGTTAAAACCGTCTCCTGCACAGCAAGGGAAAAGTCTCTTGAACTGACTTGAAATAAGCAAGCCAGGACCTGCCTGGAGAGACTGGCCTCATGCTGTGCTTTCCATCTCACTGAAAGGGTTGAGACTTGCAAATGTCAGGCACTTCACAGTCTCTCCTGTTTCTCCCTCTTTACCTGAGATCTCTGCTGAGCTCATGATGTGCTTTGAATGGCACATGACGTGTAACTCATGGTTGGGTGACAGCTCTGGTGCGTAGCTCATACTATGTTTGAGCTGTAGTTACAGCAGATAAAAGATGTAGTTCACAAAAGGACTGTTGATGTTCCTGGGACACCACAGGCTGCTGGTGTCCTGCTGCCGGGCCCTTGACTATTGTAGCTTCTGGCATCCCAGCCCTACTGGCTGACACATGGGAACCGGTCAGACAGAGGGTGTATGGGGTCACGAGGAAGAGGGGTGCAAGTATGTTAAGGTTTTCTTGGTAGGAGCGGTCCCAGAGGTTGGACTTGTTGAAACTGCATTCGTGACTGTTGGTCTCTCATGGGGGTTGGTGCTTCTGCAAGGTATTGTCTTCTTCTTGCCTGCAGTGGGATGTTACTACTGGACAGATGGGTTAGAGAGCTTGGTGAGGCCTGTGTCTGTACAGGGATCTATCCACAGGATGTTTATGTCCAACATGTATTTGTTTATAGCTTTTTATTTTAAAAGTCAATTTCTCCTGCTTTTATTTTCAGCTATAATTAGGAAAGCAAATCCAAAGGGGAAGGGCTGACAACATTTAAACGTTGACTTTTTATACCAGAGTCCAAGCTGAAAATGTAACACATAATTCTGTCGTGATTTTTGCCACCCCAGCCGTAACAGTTAAATAACTTCTTGTGTTTTGATCCTGTGAATCATATGTGCTTTCTGGATGGTGATATATTTGGTACGCCTGAAATAGAAGGTGGATAGCTGAGAAATCAGCAAAATAGTAACAGAGAATGTTTGCCAACTCCTTCTTAGCAAGACTCAAAGCATTTCTCTTGGCATTTTTGTTGGATCATGAAAACACAGTTGAACACTTCTGGTGGGGTGAAGATAAGTCTCACACCTTTAACAGGGACTTGACCCTGCATAGGATCTTTATCTTCCCTGACATCTGGGAGTCATTAAGGCTTAGTACAGCACAGAAGACTGAAAAGGCATTGTGGAGTTAGGCACAGCTTGAATTTTTAACTAAGAAAACTTCTTGATATTACTTGAAAAGGGACTGCTACTTTCAGTTTAAGCAAGTTCCTTTTCTCAAGGTGTGAGATCATTTTTCCTTCATTCTTGATTAATCTTTTGGCTGAATAGAAATATGTTGTCATTGTATTTCCAGAAGCCTTTTGTAAGAAAAATTGATTATGGAGAAATATGAAAAGTTAATCGTACAAGAATGAGTAATGTTAGAACCTGTCATCACATTACTTTATTTTAGAATGGTAGTATCAGCAGGTCCTGTAAACCTGGAGAAGTGCTACTGATCAGCAAGTGCTTTTGTGTAAGTAAATGAGGAAGATGGGAAAAGAAGGGTTAAATTTCTATTAACAACCCCCTGTTTAAATCACTTACCTTCGTTATGTACCTTGTGAAACGAAGCTTGTTGTGGTACCGTGTCTTTCGAATTTCACTCGTCTGCTGTTCAGCTGGCATTGAATCAATATACAGTCAGTTTGCATTTAGATGGTTGTTTGTACAAAAGTAAACTCTGTACCACTTTTCTAGCACTCAACTCATTCATCAGAGGTCAAGGAGAAAATGAAGTTTTATGCCTTTGCCACCACTGACTTGGAGCAATTAGGCTGATAGCCATGAATATGAAAGCTCTTATTTATTGTTCTGTGAGTGCCCAAACAGTTGTTCTTGCCAGCGTCTGGATTATCCTGTTGGTGGTTATACACATCTGCACATTCTTGTGAAGTATACTGAAAAAGGAGAAATAATGAAAGAAATGTTTTGAATATTTTATTACATGCCACTATCTTTTTCTCTTCAAGTGCTGGCTGAAGTTCAGCTTGTGGTTAATAGCACAACTGGGCACTCATCTGAATACTTATACTACTTGGATTTATTCTTATTTTGACTGCATTTTTTGACTTGTCTTTTCCAAAACTAAACCTTAAAACAAACAAAAAAATAGGGAACAGGGACTGTAGTGAGTTCTGAGCTCACCACTGTGTTAACCCATGCAAGACCACCAAACTGACAGCAGCTCTTAAATAGTATGACAATAGAAGCAAATGTTATTCAATAAATCTTTGCTCTTTTTTTCCCTTTCTACAGGAATATTTTTACCCGAAATACTTGGGTGAGTTGCAGCTTTTACTTTTACTTTGTGGCAGTGCTGGTATGTTATACCTAACACTGGAGCTTGTCACAGCTGAAGTCTCTGTTAAGAAACGTGATGGAAATCTGATTGCAATAAACATGCATTACTAACTTTAGAGTGTATGTTCCTTATAGTACTTTGAGATGTGTTTTTTTATTTACGTGTACATTTGCATACAGAGATATTCTGTATTTTTTCTGCATGTTAAAATCCTGATGTTGTGTATGTATCTGTGGCTTGCAGTGTTGTTAAGTAATTTGTAGTTTTCTACCTTTTTCACTTTTTAATTAACTTAGTTATTAACTAATCTAGGTATCTAAAAAAGAGTGCCTTTACTTATTGAACCACTGACTTATTTTATGGACTGTCATGGTGTGAAAAAAATCTTTGTACTTTTTAGGTATTTTAAGAGATTTAGTTGGTCAAATTTGAGTAGCTACTATCATAGTTTTAGAATTGTAGTAGCATCTGGCTAAATGATCATCCTCTTCAAATGTTTCATAACAGCTGTACATCAAAGCTAAAAAAGAAATTAATGAACTTAAGAACTCTAAGGCATCTGGGAGATTATAATATTGCATAGATTTTATATCCACCTTCCAAATTCTTGTAGTCCAGGTATCATTTTACATGCTTTGAAGCTCTGTCCTGTCATCATTATAAAAATAATGATTTCATTTTCTGTTCTTCAGCTTGTATTCAGAAATATGGATCGCCATATACAAGAAGTCCAGATTTCCTTACATGCGTTCATAGTAAGCATTTTTGGTTTGTGTATTGTAGTTAAATGTTCTCTCATTCTGTCTGAAGGTCTGGGACTAGCTCAGCCATCTCCATTTTTTATAGTATTTCATACTGGTCTTCCTATTCTCTAGGCTTGAGACTCCATATCACCAACAAAATCTTTTCCATTTATAACCTAATGCCATCTTGCTGTCGTGCTTTAGTGCTTTGGTATTTTATGATGCAAGTTTCTTTCCCACCAGTTTCCCAAGGTCTGAATAAACTGAGAAGCAAGAGGGACAAGAAGTAGGATGTACGTAAGGTTGTACACTAGGCTTGGCCTTTCATTTTGTATTCTCTTGAATGCTAGCTTTGGCTCACTCCATTAAGGAACATTAAGAAAAGCTTAAAGGCAAACTCGGGCTCATGACAACCTTCCTTACATTAAGGAGGTCAATTTCACATATCATGTGACTGTGCTTTAAATATTGCAACCTTTAAAAGCTCAAATCAATTTGAAAGTCAAACTGATAACTTTGTAGAGGGTGAAGGGAACTCTTCTCATACATTTCTAGTTGCCTCTTGAAGCTTAGCAGTGCTAAAGGTATAAGACTGCATAAGTATTCTAAATATGCCCTGGGAGCAGCACAAATGGGGAGAAAAATCACGTGTATGTATGTTCATTTTATTTTTACCCCCATGTTTCAGTCTTTTATTGTGATCAAGTTTGATTAGTTATATGTTCATACCAGTACTACGAAATCAGGATCCGGATTTAGTCAACCTTTAGCATTTATGAACTGCATTACAGCAACCTTTTTTAAGAGTGAATTCCAAGGTTGGTAAGTGGTATGTGAAGAATTGCCCTCATATCACTTATGGATGTTAAGAGTCCTCTGAACTGGGAATTCTTGGACCTGTGGTACCTGTGTCAGCTGCAGTGTGCCAGCTAGTTCAAAGTGGGGTATGAAGCTGAATGCTTACTTTTACCTGTGTGTGTAGCATGGCAGAGGCAGAAGTTTTTGATGAAAATGGTTGTATCAACTGGGAGCATTTGTTCCAAACATCTAAACAGTGTTTTAGAAATGCAAGTCTAAAGGTTGGCGATGAAAAAATCTGAAAAAATAAAAGCTGAATAATTGTTTTTAGGGCTCTCTGCCCATTGCATATGCAGTGGTTTGGAAAGAAAACGATAATATTTTCCGCCATTAAAATATTAAAAGGTTTTTAAATGGCTAAGTTTTGGCTAACCATTGTTGATTCACAGGAGAAGTAACAGAAAGGAGCCTGAAATGCACTTGGAAGAATGACAGGCTTTGTGCTTAACCAGTTCCAGTGTGCCTCTTAATTTTTCACAGATGTTGCCAAAAGACTGTGTAGCTCTATGGGTTTGTGACTGCAAGATGCTTTTAAATTTTGTTCCTTAACAGCCTTCTACCCTCAAAACAAAGCTCTTCTAGTGGAAGGCTCTTTTAACGTGTTGTACAAAGACATCTCACAGCCTGGAGGGTGGAGGGTGATTAAGTACACTAGTTTATACTAGGAATAAGGTAGAAATTTTAACTATGTGAGGATTCCTAGTTTCATAACTCTTTAGATAAGGTTTACAGGTAGGATTCAGCTCTGGATTCAGAGTTAGATGCAGGTCTTTCCAGCACAGGTGCCTACATGAGCAGTAGTCCCATCATAGTCAGCAGAGTGTTAATCTCCTCTGGTTTTAGAGGGATTCCACAAACCAAATTGTGTCAGCTCTGGGGAGACCTGAATTCATGTATGGACTGTTTATTTAGTATCTCTGGTGACTGCAGTGAGTATTTACGATTGCTTTGCAGATAGATGTTTACTTTACACACAGATACCTGCACTCTGGTCTGCAGATCTGGATCTTTTTCTAAAAAAGATCCCGCAGGTCAGCTAGGAATTAAGGATTTGGGTCTGCAAGACTTTGGAAAATTGTACAGGATTTTTTGGAAATGAGGTTTCATGTGGCCTTAAAAAACAGAATGAGATTTTTGTTATATCACATGTGCCTGCTTTTCAGTAGTGACTGTCATAATCTTCGCAACCTAACATTTCCTTATGAAGTATTACTATGCATCATTTTGTGAATATCAAAAAATAAGTTCATAGCATGGAGTGATGAACTGGAAATGGCAGTAAGCAGACATAAGTAAAGGCTTGTTTCCATACAAGACTTCAAAAGTGGAACTGGTAGTTCTGTTCCCTGTCTGCACTTATGAGCTAGCTATGTGCTATCAGACACAGCTCAAAGCACACAAAAAGGTCATGCTCATCATTACTTTGAACAGCTTTACTAAATCTGTTGTGTAAATGAATGGAAACAAAAGCTCCATTTTCTTTTGCAATTGCTTAAATCAGGAGCACCTTGTATGAAGTTGGCAGAATTATACAGCTATGAAGCTACCAGAGGAGTGTAAGACTGTGTCTTGTGTTCTCAACCTCTCATGATAAGAGGGAGCAAATTATCAGCAGTGTGTTGATGTAATAGAAATATCCTTTGTTGTTTCTGCCATTTACCATGGGTTGCAATAGCTTAGTATTCTGCTGAGCAGTGTTATTACCATCTGGCTCTACAAGGCACATCAGATTCCAGTTTGAGGGAAAGAATCAGAAACTTGTGGATACACCAGATAAGTCATGCATAACCCTATTGACTTGTCTGGTTTATCAAGAGACTTTGAAAACACTGCCATGTCTGGGAGGCTTGGTTTGTGCAGCTTCAAAAAAAAAGAAAAAGACTTGGCTTACTGTACCTAAACCATTCTGTTTGCTGTACACACATTCTGGTCTGTCTAGGAAAAGAAACATCCTGGTCAGACCTGCTCTGTCATAGCTCATTGCTGCCTAAACATGGCCTTTCCCTCCCCGACTCCTCCACCTCCAGAGGTGTGTCAGCTGGGCAGTGATTCATCAGGAGGTGTTCTGGCAGGTGGATGTTAAGACACCCCATGTAGCTGTGTTTTCTTTTGTATGGTGTGACCTCTACTTTGGCTGTGGCTTTGCCCCGACTCTGCACATCTGGAGTGGAGAGGAATAAAGATAATTAGGCCTTGTTTATAGTGAGAGGATGGTTATTTCTGTGAGGCTTTTGGGATTGTGTACCCATGCTTTTCCAATATAGTTTTCCCAGGCACTAGCTTCTGAGCATCAAGGTAAAGTACTGAAAATGGGCATTTCTTTGACCAAGTCAGACTCCTTTCCCTATCAGTCCTCTGGCTTTGTCCTCCCTTGCCCACAGGGAACACCTTACTGAGGCTCAGGCTAAATGCCTGTCTTCTCAATGACAGCACTGATGGTAACTAAATGATAGCTACAACTCATTTTTTTCATGGGAACAGCTATATTCTTTCATCCTTCCTTTAGTTACCTCCGTGAAGCACTGTCCCAGTGTGTTTTAGAATCATAGAATCATAGAATTAACTGGGTTGGAAGAGACCTCCGAGATCATCAAGTCCAACCCTTGATCCAACCCCACTGTGATTACCAGATCGTGGCACTCAGTGCCACATCCAGCCTCGTCTTAAAAACCTCCAGGACGGTGAATCCACCACCTCTCTGGGCAGGCCATTCCAATGCCTGATAGGTGGGCAGGTGAATTTAGACAGGTGATTTCCATTTGTTTAGTACTTAGATAATAGTTAAAGATTTTTTTCCTCCAGTTCTCCCCAAAGAGTGGTGACTACTCTCTTGCTGCTTTCTAATGGGAAAACTCATTGCCAGGTATTGGAACTTTGCTTAAAAACCCCCATAGGATCATTGTGCTCTCTGTAAACTGGATTAGTGGTTTTCTATTCCTTTGCTGTTAACTCACGGGTATTCTTTTTTATTCTCATTCTACATAATAGAAAAGCTCTGACAAAAAATTCAGATATAAACATTTGCTAGCTGCAAATCTATCAGCTCTGGTAAGATCATCAGTTGAACTACCAAAAGTACTTGAAAAGAGTACCCATCCTTTCCTGAGTATTGCATTGATACTGCTTTTTGTTTTCTCCAAAACTAGGGAGAGTAGAATTAACTTTCTGAAAAATGAGCTACTTTGAGTTGTTTCTTTCAGGATGTACCCTTCAGATAAGGGGAATGGTAGCTCACTCTCTTTTGCAAGGAAATTAATTCCACTGCATGTGCTGTGCAAAACTCCAGGCACAGCTTGTTTGGCATGTGAGCACTAAGAATTAGCTTCCAGTTTTGCCAGGTGGGAGTATTTCTGAGTGATTCTCCATTACTGTTTAAGCATCCTGTCTTCCAATGAGATTGAAATACCTCCTTGTCAGTCACTTCAATGTATTGTTCTGTTTTGTTTTGGCTTTTTTATTCCTTTTGTAAATCAGATTTGCCAAACCAGTGCTCTCCTGATCCTTGTTACAAAGAGGGGACCGTCAAATGCGAGGATCTCAAGGGGGACTTCTATTGTGAATGCAAGCGTGGCTGGCAGGGAAAAACATGTGAAAAAGGTAATTGGGTTTCATTATCTTTTATACTTGTAACACAGATATTCTGGGTTGTGCTGTATTCTCAAATGGTCATTGATACTGTACTGCACAATTCAAAAGTCACAGAACTGAACCTGGATTACACAGCGCTTGTGTTTTTACCCTTCTTTGAATCAGGTAATTTTTTCACATCAACATTTTTATGTGACTTTAATGGAGCTCAGCTTGATCTTGGCAAGGTAATCTAAGAAGTCATGCTCTGACTTTCTGTCCCACCCCTCTGAAAGGGGCAGCAGAAATAGAGTTGTAGTGGCTTGTCAAGCAGAACTGCAGCAGGTGCTGCTGTGAACCCTAGTGTAACAGATCACAGACTGCAGAGCCAGAGAAGCTGGCCCACCTGCCCTCTAGCATCCGTGCTGTGGGAACAGTGACTTTCAGTGGGGAAGTTAGAGTCTGAGCCTGATGATACACAAACTGATGAAATTCGTCTGTTAAAGCATTCGTGCTAGTAGGACCTTATTCCACGTCTACTTAATCCCACATAGCCCAGAGTATATTTCTGTCACCTCCAAAGAGAATATTCAGGCAATCTATTTGTGCAAGGAGTGCCAGGTACCCACAGGGCTTTCTCTACAGGTTATCTTCCCTCCTGTTTTCTGGTTGTCTTTTATTTTGCCCTACTGCCTTCAAGGTTTGCTGGCAGGTAAGGAATGGCCAGAAGTCGCATTAAGCCAGTCCAGAATTGTAGCAACCAAGATAGCAAGAGATACAAAACCTTTCCTTCTCGTGTAAATATTGTGGTGAGGTTGTAGAGTCACTCACAAGGAGCATATTTAGGCAATTCAGAAAGCAGACCAGTCAGTATCCAGTCAGCTTTGAGAGCTCAGACAATGATCAGTCTGAAACATATTCCCTTATTTTCCTATAAAATTCCATTACATGTGATGTTCTACTTATCAGCTAACTCTAGAGTCCCATAGATAAGCAAGACATAATGAGCAGGTAGAGCAGGTCAGGGGTGAAATCAAGGCTCTGGGATTTTACTGGCTTTTTCTGCCAACTTCAGTGGGGACACAGTGCTCAGTAGCTGTGAACTTAAAACTTTTTGTGTTCTCATGAGTTCTGTAATAGTAAGAATATAGTGTTCTTCTTATATTTAAAGCTTTCATCCTGATCTTACTGGACATAGTATGATTTTAAAAGTTAGTTATGATATAAAATGCATTATAATTAGTTTGCTTCTGCAAATGAACTTCTTCACCTCCACAGTGACTAAAGATACTCTTACACGTTCTCAGAGCTGTGAAGGAGATAGTTACAGTGCCTTTTCTTTTCTTTTTTTTTTGCTTTATTAAACAAACAAGCTAATGTGCTTGAAGTGTTTGAATGAAATCTTTGTGCTTTTGTAATCATGGTGTTGCAGTTGTAATACTGTTTCTCCTTTGGTCTTTCTCCTTCCCAATGCCTATTCCACTCTCACTCTCCAGATTATTCATGGGGGTGAAAAGCTGACTGTAACACTTTATTTTGATGTAGATATTGACGAATGCAGAACGCAGAACGGCGGCTGTAGCCAGGTCTGTCTCAACAAGCTAGGCAGCTACCGTTGCTCATGCAACAGTGGTTACACTCTTAAAGACAGCAAAATATGTGAAGGTAAGCTTTGTTGGGGCTCTCAATTTGCTTCAGGGGATGCTTAGTGACTTATGCCTGCATTTTGGTGAGCGGGGTTGCCCTGAGCAGTCCTGGTCTGCTCTGCAGCCCAGCAGAAACTTGCTGGTAGCTCCTGTTGGCTGTACTCCACTGGAGTGTACTCCACACCATTGTGCTGGATGCTCCAGCCAGCCTACACGCCTGGGCTTGTCAGCAGTTGGACCGTGATGCTGTCAATATCGTAACACAGGCGTGATTCAGGGAGGATTTGTGGCTTGGATTGTGCTAAATTGGTTTAGCCGATCAGTCCTCATATCCTGACACTGAGAGGAGGAAGTGCTGGCCAAATGCATTGTTATGATTCTTTCCAGTCTCACGGTGCTGTAGTATATGAGCCATTTGTTTTTCTTTTGTGTGTTTCTTATTTTATTTTTCTAAATTTGGGTATGTGCAGCAGCTAATGAATTCAGACAGATACAGATGGCTAAATTCACTGCAACTGAATATTAATACATGTAGAAAGGCCCTAGTGAAAGTTGGCAGATATAGCAGCTGAGAACAGAAAGTGAGGATCTGAAATATCTGATTGAAACTTTAGAATGAATTTACATAACCAAAACTTAAGCAACTGAGATTTCAGAAGTGTTAAGAAAACTGCATGCTGAGACAAAGACTCATTAATGATTACAGTGATTGTTAAAGTTACGTGTATCTCATAAAAAATGGTAAGTCTGTGTATATACCTCTTAGAGATGGATGTGACAACATATTTCTAAACCACTTGCATACCTGATCTGAGCAACATATTAATGCTACCAGCACAAAGACAAACAGCAAGATTTTATTTCCATGTCACTTCCACTCCAAAGTTGATTGTATAGCTTACATAAGTATCCCTTTCTAATGCAAGCAGCCACTTAGAAGAGCCAACTTCACTTTTGAATTGTCCTCTGGTGCCAGTTGGCAGGGACAGATGAATGGTGAGGGTGCTCACATGTACATTTGTTTTCATATTTATGTATATTTGTTTCATACTCTGGTACTGTCACTTAAGGCACTGTGAGCAGTAGTAAAAAAGCATTCCTTAGCTTCAGCGTGTGACCCTGCACTTGTTGAGGTTGCTGTCACGTGTGGTTATTGCTAGTTCAGATTTATCATTGCATTTTGGCTTTCTTTCATGTTTATTCCTGTCATCATGTGCGCACACACAAAAGTTACCTTTTGTCTTAATTTGTAGACGAGGCTACATAGGGTGCTAGATAGACCCTCAACCAGTTCACTCATATGTGGGAAAATCAACAAGTGTAATGTGTAATTGTAGTTTTAACACATACTAAAAAGCTAACATAAATATTAAACTGTCAGTATACTGCAAATGTTTTGTCAACACCAGAGTTTTGCTGGGTATTAGTTAACATGTTAGGAAAACACGTTGTGTTTATGGACCTCCAGTTCATTGCCTGCCTTCATGGTGAAACCCCAGAACATCTCTCAGACATGACTTGTTCTCTGTGACAAAATGAACAGCTTCAATTCTCCTTTGCCACTACAGATCAGCAGATGTAGATCTTAATTTTACTAAATGTGTGAAAAATTATTGTTTGCCTGTCTGAGGACAGAGAACAGAAATCTGTGATGTGCCACAGGCTGCATCTCCCTTCAGTGTTTTGATAACATTCATGCTGCTGTTCCTCAGTTCCTACCTGTTGCTTTTTTTAACCTGCAGTTTCAGCCCCCATGAGTGAAGGGTTTGTGGCTTTTTGGTTTTCTGGGAGTTGTTTTGTTTAACAGTTTTTCTCCTGGCTTACTTTGTATTGTTTTTTTCCAGTAGTGGTTAATTGCTTTAAGAAAGAAAGACCAACTGGTTTTGAAAGCCTGAAGTCACTTCTTATAGCTAGCTACCCCTAAAGGTAGATTCTTAAAGATACTGTTTTTTCAGTTTCCAAAATAATTTCTTGACCCTAAGCCTAGTCCAGTATATGAATAGTGATTATACTCCTCTCAAGTCATGTTGTTCAATTACTTGTTTTGCAGACATAGACGAATGTGCAGCATCAGCAGACATCTGTGGAGAAGCTCACTGTAAAAATTTAGTAAGCTCGTACGAATGTCTCTGTGACGCAGGCTACAAGTACGATGACGTGAAAAAAACTTGTCAGGGTAAGCTCATTAAATAGCATCATGTTAGCATTTATTACATAATTTAAAGCTGTAACCCCCCCGAAATTTAGTTTCAGGCTTCAGTACAAGCATTTTTCTCTTTTTTTTTTTTTTTTTCCTAATCTTGCTTACACGCTGGACTTCTGTTCCCTTTCTCTAGTTGGGAGTGAGTTTGCAGATTTCAGTCACCTCTGAGTTCATTGAGCTTGCAGTGATCTTTGAGTTCATAGAATTTGCAGTTGTCTTGGAGTTCACTGAGTTTGCAGTCAACTTTGATGACTTGAATCAAGCTGTACAAGCCAGAGTACTGAGATTTCTTGAATTCATGACAAGTGCAAGATCTGGTGAAAGCTCAGAAGCATCTGTGCATATTGCTGTCTCTCTTCATAGGACAAGAAAAGTTACAGAGCAGTAGCTGTTGTTCTTTTAAAACCTGTCTTGTGGTATTACTCTGAACTATGAGTTTAATATGTGTTTTAACCATGCACAGTTCTGCTGGCTTCACTGCCTGCAAGCTTTCTCAATGGAGTAAGCTTTGAAAGTATTCCAAAACTAGCACTGTTCCCTGTCTTTTGTCTAAGTTAATATACTGACTCAAATCACACGCCAACCAGTCCTGCTGAGCTCTAAGTCTTTACCTCTGCCTGAAGAGATCCCTGTAGACTGTCAGAATTTGTTTTCCTGCAATTGTTTGTGAAGTAGATAAAAAGAAGCTAAAGGAAAAAAAAAAAAAGGGAAAAAAAGAATGTGAAACTCAGCTCTTATTTGCAGTCCCTGAGTTGAAGAAGCAGGAGCCAGTCAGCACAGGCGTAGCAGAAGGGGCCTGAAGGGAGGAAGTATTGTCTAGAAGTTAAAGCCCAGGGCTCTGCTCCAGCTGCTTCCAGCCTTCCCACTGATTTGGGCAGCTGGAATCTGTCTGTGAAAATAGCTTGTGCAGATGCTAATTCTAACTCTTCTCTCCTGTAAAGATGTGGCATAGAGTACGTACTGGCCACAGAGCACTTGGACATGCTTAAGGCAAAGATGCTACGAAACAGCACTAATAATGCTTCTCCGCCCGCAGTGATTCATTTTTTAACAAACTCACTGTTTTCTCCTCTCTTCTTTGCTGGTTTTGTGTAGATATAGATGAATGTGAAGAAAAGCTCTGTGAACAGACCTGTGTCAACTCACCAGGGAGTTATACCTGTCATTGTGATGGCAGAGGGGGAGTGAAACTTTCCCAGGATATGAATACATGTGAGGTACGTCAGTGTTCATTGCTGTAACTGCAGAACAGACCTTTTCTTTACATTGCAATTAAGATGAAGCTCTGGACTAAAGTCATTTGAGCCAAGCGAGCAGCAGGAGGGAATCCTCTTGGCAAAGTTGCATGGGCTGGGGACAGTAGCTCTCCTGAAAAGAAATTTTTTCCTGAAAGTCTCTCTTTTCCAGCTCCTCCTGTCCCAGTTCCAGTGATAGCCCTCTGTTTGACTATGAGTTACCTTGTCTGCACAAGCTTTCCTGAGTTAGGTCCGCTAGGTTGGTGCAAAGGTCTAAGGGCCTGTGGTGTAAGTTATGAACCACCACTTACATTTGACACTTTTGTCCTCCAGGCATTTGAGGTGGATGGGCTTCAGTGGCACAGACTGCCTCTGTGGTAACCAACCAACAGCAAGTTCTTAGCACATCTTTTGTTGCAGGCACAATGCAGTAGAAAACCTCATGCTCTACCTTATGAATATGATTTCATAATGGAACAGGAAAACATTCCTCCAGGGCAGATAGTAGGGGGGAGGAAAGGAAAGAGGAAATGTTCTCTGTACAACTGTATTTTGAGAGAATAAACATTACAGTGCACTAACCTGCTATATGTATTGTATTAATTAATGATAACCTGCCCTCATTGCAAGTTTGTTCAACACCTCTTAGTGTGAAAAAAACAAATTCTATTTCTGAGAAATAGCAGCATACAATGGTTTCAACATTTCAATTGGCATATTTGTAAAAGGCAGCAAGAAGTACAAATGTCCAACAAATCTCTGAACACATTTATAATCATACTGAGTCCCTGGTTTTATTGTCCAGATTATTTTCTTCATCTTCATCCACCAATCAATATGAATTTCAATGAGTGCTGTCTTTATATGTATAGCAACTACATGAGAAAAGAAGTGGAGACATACTCTTTGATTCTTTTCTGCCCTCTGAGGAGAATAAGCACTCAAAAAATGTGTTTTGATTATAGAACATAGTACCATGTGTGCCTTTTGCTGTTGGAAGAAGTGTTAAATCCTTGTACCTGGGGAGGATGTTCAGCGGCACTCCTGTTATCAGGCTGCGCTTCAAAAGGAAACAACTGACAAGGTGAGGACAATGTAGAATGACAGTCAAATGCTCTGATTGGCTTTGATGCATGCAAGGGTGTTAAGTTGTTACAATTACAATTAGTCCTACATTCACCGTTATTTGCTTGGATTATGGAGTCTTGTAAGGCAAAACATTATCCAAACCAGTAACTGAGAAAGGCAGCCTTGACCACAAAGCTGTTAGGATAATTACTGAAGTACAGTATTGTATTCTTTATTCTTGATGCTATTTTAAAACCTGTCTTCGCAGCTTAAGTCTTTCGGGAGTGCATTAAAAGCTAGTATGTTTTAACAGAGCTTTGTAGCTGCTAAAATTGATGCTATCTGTATGGAAAGTACTCTGTGGTTTTTGAACTCTGCATAACTAATTTATTTCTTGGCACCTGTGTGGTCAGACTTGTGGCTGAGTTCGACTTTAGAACCTTTGATCCTGAAGGTATCCTTTTCTTTGCTGGAGGCCATCAAGACAGCACATGGATAGTCTTGGCACTGCGCAAAGGACGGCTAGAGCTGCAGCTGAAATACAATGGAATAGGGCGTGTGACGAGCACTGGACCACTTATCAACCATGGCATGTGGCAAACGGTGAGTCCAGGCCACGGCTGAGGTCCAGCTGTTTCTTGGCTTGTTCAGGATGGGCTCTGCCAAGTGCAGACAGACTTTGTGTATTCTTGAGATGCTTTTCCAACCTATCTATCCGTTCAGTGCATACAAGTATGTTATGCATTCTTAGGTGAGAATGGGATGTTCTTCTTAACAAATCAAATTATACTCTATATCCACTGTAATACAAACTGCATCACTGATTTGCACAACCAGAGCAACCATTTGCACAAACGGTGTCTTTGAAATACAGCAGTGCCAAGCTGACTTTATGTCAGTTTGAGAAGATACCATCTGGGTGAGGGTTGGAAGGAGTAAGAGGGAAGGAATTGTGTCTTTTCTTTTAAGGAAATTTCCAAGTGCGTTTGGTGTATGGGGGTGTGTGGTTGCTTTTGTTCATTCACTCGTTTGTTTAGTCACAGGGCTCAGACTATCTGAGGCCTTGACAAATGTCTTACGCTACAGTATCCTTTTTGTAAAGTCTTCAAGCTTGTTTATATACAAAATAGACCATTTCCCTTGTAAAGATATTGGAGTCTGTTATAGGATCACAGAATCATCAAGGTTGAAAGAGACTTTTAAGATCATCACGTCCAACGATCAACCCAGCACAATCACTATAACCCCTAAAATACTCTGTTTACTAACAACATAATCCCAGCAATCTCATGAGTTTGTAAGGATTGTAAGGATTCATGTTCTTCCTGATGCTCTTGCAGAACATTGCCTGGTGATTTTGGAAGCATTATGGTCATTACAGTTTGTGACATGATCATGAAAAACATTTTGTAGTGTGATCTACAGTAGATGAGCAATTTATATATGCTTTCTCACTTCTGCCTTTTCCTCTCCTTTCATTTTTTCTTGCTTAATTAGTTCTTTTAAGTTGGTGTGCCTCTTGGGGAGTGGGCGGGAAGTTCTCAGCTAACGCACACATGAGAGAAATGCAGATATTGGTAACTGTGAATCATTTTCTGATTTACATTTTTTAGTATATAAGAATCATACATTAAAGAAATAAGCAAGGTGGGAAAAATTTTGTTTCTGATGCATAAATAAAGAAGACCTTGCATGCTGTCACTGTCAACTATTGACATTTGGTAATGTTTCCAACAGTTCCATTACTGTCAGTGAAACAATTTTAGATTCCAAATGAAGAGCTGTAGAGGTTCGGTGAAGTTGTAGATAAAATGTGTGACATGCTGTATCTTTACATGTAGGAATAGCCTCAAGCCAACTCTTATTGAATTTTATGGTAAAATTTCTAATGGTTCTGCTAATTTGAAATATGATAATTGTAATTTTTTGCAAAGAGAGGGTGGTGATGGAAGATGTGAAAAGCAGAGTGGATGCCACTGGCTGACTTGGGAGTCACACAAATCAGCAGTTACCAAGCTAATCGATTTAACACCACAGCATAACATACTTGTTAAGTACCATGAAATAATTACAAACTATCCAATCTTAGTTTGAGGGGACACAGCTGAAATGCATTTGCCTTCTTCAGGGAGAGAAGGCAGTATGATAAAAGTAAGCATCATGTTTAGGCAAGAATTATTTGCCTCCTGCCAGCCACCAGTGTCAGGGCTCTTATCCTAAGGTACCATCCTAACCAAGAAATCGCCTGGCTAAGTTGCTAAAGCAACACACATTGCACATTTTCTGAGAGGTTGTATAAATCCCCTCGAAATCCTTCCCCAAGGCTTTTTGGGACAGTACAGACCTAGCTGTGGGTGCCATGTGGTGCAGGTGGACAGGACCCACACTGATAAAGGGGTCAGCCAGCAGTGCTGCCCTGCACATGAGTTGAGCAGGGCCAGGCAGCTGCCAGAGATGCAGCATGGCATGATTGTAGGAGAGAGCACCATGCACTACTGGCACAGGAATGCTTGCCTGGAGCAGGTCAATGGCCGCAGTCCTGGTAACTGTCTCCCAAAGTGAAACTGCTTGATGTGGCCAAAGGCAGAGGGATCTACCCACAGATGAACAGCAGCAGGAGGAAGGAGCCTTTAGTCTCTTGACTTCACAATTGACTTGCCTCTGAGTCTTGGGACCCTCCTTGCACTGTTGGAGTGCTGTTGATTTCTCCTTTCTCTGCCCTATTTTCTTATTCCTTGCCTTCACCCTAGAGGTACTTGTTTTTCTTCTGCTTAGCATCCAGTGTCACCCATCTCTAAATGCCATTTAATCTATATGGCTGAGTGATACAACTATAAATATGTTCCTCCATTTTATCCCCTCTCTCTTTTCTCCTTGGTATGGTTTTTAATTTAGGAAATCCTGTTGAGGAGGGATTATTACTTTTTGTCTGTCTCCTTTTATAAAACATGTAGCCACACTTTGCATTTTAAGTATGGATTCGTGTGTACTTTTCAACCTCAGCTTCTGCAAAGCTCAACCCCAAAAATGTTCAGAGGTCACAATCCAGACTCAAATGCAATTTGGGAGCTTTAGTCTGGGCTTCAGTTTGCACAGAATCAAGCCCTTAGTTTTGGTTAGACCCTAAACAGAGGAGTTTGGATACTTGGGAGAACTTTATAGGGGTTATAGGAAAATACTAATTTTACTATGCAACTTTCAGCAGACGGAAAAACAATGGATATTTAAAAGCAAAACATATGAAAAAGCACCAGCAGTGTATGACTTCTGGCCTATTGAGCAAATGCTGCCTACTTTTATGGAAATATGATGGTATTTTCAAAACTTCAGGCCAATATTTCTACCTAGGTATTTTCTCTGATGTTGATCCCTACTGAGCTATTTTTAAATGAGCATTGAACCAGCATTAAAAACACAAACAAGCAAGCCTCAGAAAAGACTTCTAATGTAGTTATTTGTGCGTAATCCAGCTGGATGAAGTGGCACGTATGAACTGATGATAGTAGAGGACACACTCGCCTTCTGTTTGTTTTGCATTTCCAAAAACAGTCATCATTTTGTCTTCCTTTCAATATTCAGTTTAGTACCGTTCTGAAGACACAGTATGGTTAGCAAAAATAATAACTTAACTACACTGTTAAATGTCAGGACTGAGGGTTGAGCAATCGGAAGCAGATTCTTATTTGGCTTTAACCCTGTGTCTGGCTGTAGCTCTGTCCCTTTTCAGAGCTGTCCACTTGCTTTTCAGCAAAGAGCAGACAGGCTGGCTATGTGCTACGAGCTATCCAGGGCGTGAATCCAAAACACAAAGCTGACTGTCCTTATGGCTAACCGTATGGGAACCCATTACTTTGAGAACTGCCTGCCTGAATGTCCCCGAGCACGCTGTGGCAGGCAGCGACTACAGGAGGGAATTGAAGCAGGATGCTAACTACTGAAATGCTTCCCCTTTTGGTTTGTAGGTGATGGTGGTGCACCAGCAATTAAGCTTTGAATTTAAGGAACAAGAGCTTAAACAGCCAGAGGGCATTGTGAAGTAGGCAGAATGTAGTTTCCCAAACTGGAATTTATTAAGAGTTTTGACAGGGATTAACCCCTCCTCCTATGGAAGTTTTCACTGATTTGGGTTTACTTGTATTAATGATCAGAAGCAGCAAAGAACTCAGAATAATTTTTATTATTATTATTTCTATGTCATTACTTGCTGTATAATATAATAAAATTTTAGAAGGCCCTAAATTTTGGTGGCCCTGCAAGTAGCAGGATTTCTTCACAGAGTAAGAACAGTATGGGCGCTACTGCAGACAGTTTTTCCTCATTCCCTTTTGCTCTGTGGCTGCCCAGTCTGTGCTAGAACAGGGACACAGTCTGTGCCAGTTCCTGTGGCACTCCATACCCTGGCACATTAGGGCAGTGGTGACCATGACACCGAGCAGAGGCGTCCGAGTGAGTTTTTAGCTGGATGACCTGTGTAGCTCATCCAGTTGGGTGGCTGCCAGGACCTGTGGGCTTATGTTCCCACTGATTGGACTTTACAGCCTTCCAGTGCCCAAAAAAACCTGTTTGAGACTGACTTGTGTGTCTCCATGGAATGTGGTCAGGAGGTGTAGGTGCCGCTTTAAACAAGCAAGCTTCAGACAAATATGTTCACGTCCTGTAAGATATGGCACAGAGCAACACACCAGGTGTAAACAGTGTTCCAGCAGTATAAACCAGACTCTGCTGGAATTCACAAGAGAAAAAAAAGGTTGATCAGAAGAGAAAAGTCTGTGAGTAATCTTTTCAACTATCAAAGTCACTAAATCTTCATTTCTGAAGACTGAGGTCCAAAAGGAGTGTCCAGGTATAAATCTGCTCAGTGCTGTCCTCCTTTGTGTTATAGCCACAGAGCAAGAGCTCAGCATGGCTGATAAGAGCAGTTTTGGGACAGCTACTCAAAATGCAAAGAGAAGGATGCTTAGGACCTGGCCTGCTAGCAGGGAGAGGGAAGAACAAGTCTAAACAGCCTCACAGATAGATAATTGGTTCTATATAGTGGCTCCCAGGGAGCATCTGGATGTCCCAGAAAACAGAGCTGTATGGATGAAGAGTGAGTAGGTGGAGTATCTGTCACAGAGTAGGAAGAAGGTTATGAAATAGTGGAGGTGCACTCCTTTCTCCTTCTCTACAAGAAGATTGGGTTGTCTTCTGCTACAGCCTGTTGGTAGCAGGACCCAGGTCCCTAGGCAGCAGAATCTGTGCTGCTCTTCAGCAGCCTGGTGCATTATCTTTGTGCTTTGCCTCCTTCTCTCCCTTTGCAGAGATGAATATTTTATTGTGCTTCTTTGTGCAGCCTGGTCATAATTAAAATTATAACTTTTTTTTGAAATTTCAGTGATAATAGAATTTTCCTAGAAGTAGCTCTTTGGAGACAAGGAGAGAAAACTTGCAGAGGCTTTTCTGAGAGAAAAGCTATTGCCTACTACACATTTTTATTACCCTCTCAGAAATCACATCATCTGTTGTTCTTTTTGCAGGGGTCAATATTCAAAAACTGTGTCTGGAAGGTCTTCTGCATTATATTCCACTGGTTCAACAAAAACCATCTTGTCTGTCTTTCCAGATTTTCTTTTCACATGCAGCTGCAATAAGAAGGTTCTCATTAATAACTCGTTATTGCATTTACATTTTGCATAGAGCAACCTACATATGTCATGTTATCATTTCACTCATGTTTTTCTATAGCTGTTTTGAAGTAGCTCGATTGTCTTCACTGTTAGGGTAGCTGCAGGTTGCTTTCTAGAGTAAAGATTTACATATCAAGGCGGAATGTAATTTAAAAGGCAGACAAAGAGGCGTGGGGACAGAAAAGATTTCTCTGTCTTGGGGATTTAACTGGAAGGGTCTGTCCAGTAGTTGAGGCTGCAGATATTAAGTTCTTTTCATACTGAATTACTCAATTTGGAATTTTATTTTTTCAGATCTCTGTTGAAGAACTCGAAAGAAATTTGATTTTAAAGGTCAACAGGGATGCAGTTATGAAAATAGCCGTCTCAGGGGATCTGTTTACGCTAGACAAAGGAGTGTATCAGCTGAATTTGACAGTAGGAGGTATTCCTTTCAAAACAAAGGACCTTATTCTACCCGTAAGTATAGCATGATCCCTCGTGCTGCTTTGTATGATGGAAGGGCTTGATTTTGTCTTTCTTGAGAGCTGTTCAGCCTGCTCTGAAACAGGTGGAATTGTCACCTTCTGGATACAGCTTTCTCTCCATTAACTATAGCAGGAACCTAAGCTAGTAGCAAAGGTGAGACTCTTGATTTTTTGATTGGTAGGTTTGGGTGAGATGCATCCCACCTGTAGAGATAGGGCACGGCAAAACAGGAGCACGTGACAAAATTCACTGCGGTTGTGTGAGCTTGGAGAGCATGAGTGGCCCTGGGGGGGCAGTCAGTGAGCACATCTCTTTGTGAAGGTGCCACTGTGCCTACTAAGTCTGGAAACAATGTCAGGGGCACTTTTTATGTTGCGACCAAAGTTTGTGCTTCACGTATATTGTGTCACAATTTTGCTGCTTCTGTTTGCTGTTTCAGTTTCAGTGAGACCTGAGGAAAAACAGCTGCTTGTTTTTATTTATTTCCTCCTAATTCAAGTAGATAGGGCATATGAGTAAAAGTTAAGGCACTCCTTTGGGTGAGATTAGATGATTGCTGCATTTCTGAAATAGCTGCTGCTCAGGCTGGTTTGAATGTCTGCCACACACAGAGTTGGCACCTTGAAACCCTAATTTGCATCTCTTTATTTGTAAATGAGGTGACAAGCTTGTGGCTTGTGACTGGGAGTATAGCAGCTGAGGAAGGCTCCTGTGCTTCACAAGAAGTCTTTCAGGGTCACTGCTTGTCTGAAACAGTAAAGTCAGGGTGTGGCCTGAATCTAGGATTGAGAGCCAAAAACTCCTCAGGTTTTTATCCTGGCTCAGACACTTAATTCTCTCTCTCCTTCAGTTAATTGGGAGTAATGGTGCTGATTTAGAGGCTTTGCAAGGAGCCTTCTCTTTACATCCTGTGTCACATTTTAATGCTGACATTTCATACAGGGTAACCTAACTAGAAGCTGGAAGGAGCAAGGTGTGTGCAGAGTGGTGTGCCTGTCTTGTGGCTCAGACACCCCTCCTGAAGGCAGAACTTAAAAACATACCATGATCAGGTCTAAGGTCTGTCTTGTGTGTCACGCAGGCTGTTTGCAATGACACAAAGGACTGGGGTTTTTAACTTCTAGTTGGCCTCCAGCATTCACAGTGCAGAATTATGGGAGTTACAGAGCTTTGGTGACGGAGCTTTAGAAATAAGTTGCACTGATGATGTGCATCATAGGGGAGGTTACAGAAACAATACAACCAAATCAGCACCTGCATTAGATAGTGTCCTTCTGTCCTGTGGAGAAAAACTGATCTCAGGGGAGTTTCCTGGGGAATACTAACCACTCACTTGGGGTTGCAGGATTGAGATTGCTGCCAATTGGTTTGCATGTTCATAACATGTGAAAATTATTCCTCCTATTTGGTATCATAGTATCACTCAGTATTCCTCTGCACCCAGTTCTTCTTCACTGAACGGTAGTTTGAGGCATGAGATACTGCTTTATCTTCCTAGATAAACCCTCGGCTGGATGGTTGCATGCGGGCATGGAACTGGCTGAACGGGGAGGACACCTCTATCCAAGAGACCATAAAGATGAATGAAAAGATGCAGTGCTTTGCTGTAGCAGGACGAGGATCTTTCTATCCTGGCCGAGGTTTTGCTGTGTTTAATCTTACTTATGGTAAGTAGTTTGTTTTTTTTTTTTAATTTCTGACCTCTTGTCCTGCTATTAACCGTACTTGGTTTATAAACAGTGTAAAACTTACATGTATGCCAGATTCACTGTTGATTGATGCACAAAAGACTGGCAGCTGTGGATGGAGAGGACTAACTAAACTTGTGATTCACAGCAAAGGAAGTCCTATGTATGATGGTTAGAGCTGGTGTGAATATACCCAGCATGGATTAGGTTCTCTCTGTAGCTCTAGTAATATATTTCATATCCAGGTTGGTTCCAGCTCATCCTCAGCCCAAAGGGACTGAGCAGCATCTCTGCCAGCAGCTTAGGTGCTTCCAGTCCTTACCACTGTTTCTGCTCAGTAGGGAGAGCTGTAAGCCAGAGTGCTGTATCTTGAGTTTATGATGGACAAAAAAATCAATATTACCTGTAACAAAATGTCCAAGGTTGGGTTCACTTTTAATCACAGTGGCATTAGTTACACTTGAATCAAAGGCACTAAGCATATCCCTGGTACAAGCTGAATGAAATTGGCATAGACAGAGTAATAACAAGTTTCAAACCCAACTTGTCCATACTAATGTAGCACTCAGAAAGGCACCATTTTATTCTAGATTATTGTTTGTTTATATGTGTGATCAGCTGTCAGTATTTTTGAACCCAGTCAAATGCTGACCATCTATTTCAGCTTGGTGTGCAAGTCCTCCTCTGCAGGAGCCATCTGTTCATCGTTATGTGGATTTTTCTTCTGTGCCATTGTAAATTAGGGAGTATCGGCTGTCTATCATATTATTTAGCACATGGATTCAAAAATGACAAAGTAAAGACAAGCATCTGACGTGCAGATGACAGCACTCAGCAGAGATAAGGCCTCAGTACCCACATTCTTTTTTTCTTCAAACAATAATTCTCTATTTTCTTTTTTTTTTCTTCCTTCATAATGGTAAGCTTTATAAAGAATGAATTATTGTATTTCAAGATGTGGTGAACCAGCAAAGCTAATACTGCTATGAAGGGATGTTGCAGGAGCAGGATTGAGATCTTTCTTTGTAACCAGAATTACCTTTTAAATTACAAGGGCACTGAGGCAGTAAGAAGGTATCAGAAAGTTTAATTCACAATTCAACAAGTGAAATAAAACATCCCTCACTTCTGGAGGCTGGTGGTCAGGAAGTGTTTGGTTAGGTGATGAGTGTAGTATGCTTACATAATTTTTCAGTTTAATACAGGCTTTCATAGAAATGTTTCCTGTATGTCAAATTTGGACTTAGATTCCTCAGTGATCTTTGGGCAGTCAAGAACAATTCAAAAATTGGGTGCCCTACCCTGCAGCAGTTCTTTGAGTGTGTTGCATTGACAGCCATGGGAATTTGAGTATTTGTGATAAAAAACCTCAGTGTTATCGTTTGACATACTGAAGAGCAGTAGAATGCGTAAGGTAACAAGAGGAAACTGATGCCATTTTCTTCTTTGATTTTATGTCCAGGTGCTTTGGAGTGATTTTTTTTTTTAATAAAAGAAATGTGGCAATCCCTCCATAGTCTCATCTGTCTATGCTCTTCTCTAGGGAGAAATTGCACAGCCTACCCATTTGACCTGTTAGTCCTATGTGTGTCCTGCACTTTTTTTTTTTTTTTTTTTTTTTTTGCAGTGCAACCTTCTTCTGGAAATGAAACCAAGAAGAATTGGGAAATAGAAGTAAATGCTGTAATTCAACCAGCAACAGATACTGGTGTGCTGTTCGCTCTAGTTACAGAAGAAGCATCTGTCCCTTTATCACTGTCTCTGATTGACTATCACTCCACGAAGAAACTGAAACAACAGGTACAGACGTAAGCATTTTTCTAGAGAAGGTTCCTTACTGTTTTCTAGGAACTGAAGGTAATTTTCAAAAACAGTTTTCAGGTTTCCTGCCCGCCTGCTTATTTGCCCCACCAGTTCAGAACATGGCCTGAGACATCAGTGCTTGGCTGACACCGAAGTTCTGCCTCTTATGGGTGCGCGTCAGACACTATTAGGGGGCTCTTTGCAAATGTGCTCTAGGTTAAAGATGGAACTGCTCTCTTGAATGCAGGCATATTTTACTATTTTCTTCTGGTACAGAAGCTGTTTAGTGCCATAAACCAGAGATTTCCATTCTCTGGAGCTCATCAGTAACAGTCCCAAAGTAGCCAAGGCTTTAGGTGTCACTCCAGGTGTTGTGAAAGGCCAGTTATGATCGAGTGCTCGAGCTACTATTTAATAGTATTCATAATAAAGGGCTAGATTCTGTCATTTCACAAGGGTAAACCAGGAGTGATTTCACTAAAACCCGTGAGCCAACTTTTCATTTGTAGTCAGCTGACAGCTCCAATCAGTTTGGTTCCAGTGCAGTGTAACAACTTTTGCAAGACCCACTAAGAATTCTCTCTGAGAATTGGTTTCAACCCATAATTAGTCCCACTGGTTCACTGGTTTTTCATCTATGCAAATGAGTTCAGAACACAATCAGCAATAGTAATAAGCCTAATTCTCTGGTGGCTCTGCAAAATCTTTGTAATAAAGGCCACAGTGGGGTTATCCTGGTGCTGGATTAGTGTGGCTGGTATATTTCTGCTCACTGCCTTTTCTTCTTTTTTTCCCCTGCTGCTCAGTTTATCACTGTGGCCTTGGAGAACATAGTTGTGTCCCGACTGGCAATAAATCTCTGTGATAAGAAGGAACACGCTGTGGACGTCCTCCTCAAGAAAGATCACTTGTCCCTGAAGGTAGATGGGATGGCAGGAGAGAATGAACTAAGCATCTCTGAGTTAGAGGGCAGTCTGTCCATCTTGGAGAGCTCTTTGCAGTCACCAGTGAAGACATATGTGGGAGGATTGCCAGGTGAGCCTCCTGTTTTGTACCATGGACCACAGGCTCCCAACTCACCTTGCTGAGCTGGAAGTCAGGAAAACTTTCCGTTTGTGCAAGTTGTGAGCCTCCTTCTCTGTTTCTGCTTAAGCAGGCTTTGTCTGCAGTTCAGGCACGTGAGCATAACAGATCTGGGGCTGGACTTTTCTTAAAGAGTGTGTCCTTCTGAGGACAGCTGGAGACAAAAATAGAAAGTGGAGGTTTTCTTGTTCAGCAGTAGGAATGATGTATCTGACAGATATATCAGGATATTTATCTTAGGCAGGATATTTATCTTAAACCTGGTAAAATTCATAGGAGCTGGACCACAGGCCCCTCCAGTGCTTCATTAATATAATGAACCTGTGAGAGCGTTCCTTGAGAGAAGTACCAGGGCTTCACATTGTTTTGACTGAAGCTTGGGAGGCCCAGCGTGGTGATTCTCCCTGGCTGATGCTCTCTGTGAACTGATCACAGCACTACAGAGTTGACAGATTGCCTCCCAGCAAAGGATATGTAGAGCACAACCAGGGGTTACCACCATTTTGCTGGCTTTTCAGCAACAACAGGGCTTCTTCTGAGAGACCAGTTTGCTCCTCTGTTCTGAACCTAGAAGACCAAACTTTCATCTGAATTGTGAATTTTTGGCCAAGTTTGGGAGTTTGTTTCTTGTTCTGGCTGAACTGGTTTATCAGTCCCTTCTGCTGAGGAATGCAGTTAAGGAAACTCTTATGTCTCTGATGCACATGATGCCAGCATCTAAGCAAAATCTTGCCCTTACTTGCCCAAGCAAGGGATAGGCAGCAACACTGGCCTCTTGGTAGGTGCTGAAGCAATCAGACTGGAACAGGGCGGCCAAGGTGCCACGTGTGCTAGGACACATAGCATGGCTTTTCTCACCATGAACAAGAGTTTAAGGAGTGTTTGTGCTGATGATGTAAAGGGCTCCTAGTCACACCTAAAAGGAGGAGACCATGTACTCTTGGATATTCACTAATTGGCAGAAACAAGCTTTTTCCGGTGTCAGATTGAATTGTCCAAGCTGGCCATTGCATAGGCAAGATAAGACACTTACTTTAAGTAACTCTCAGATGCACAGCAGAGGGTTTCATAGCTCAGAAAACAATCCCATTCTGTCCCTGTCCCAAGTTCTCTATGGTTTGGTTAGACTAACTGTGCTGGGTGAAGCACAGTTTTAATTATCCAGAACTAAGTGTGAGATACCATAGCTATGGCTGTTTAGACCCAGCTGGCATCTGGAGGTTTAGCTACTTTCCCCACTTTGATCTGTTCTGCTCATTAAAGGAATTTCTGCCAGTGGTCTGCTTTTGCCATTGAGAGGAACACAGCACTTGCATCGAGAAACTTTGTCATTTGTCAAACAAATAAACATTTCAGCACTTCAGTTGGATTAATCATTGTGGGTTAAATAACTATACCAAATGGTCAGATCTAAGTGAGTTTGGTTCCTTCAGAGTTTGAAAACATTACGTAGTTTTTGGTTTTCCTGGCTTCCATACCCAATGGAAAAGAACAAAGTATAGTGATCACACTTAATGTCTTTATTCCATTCGCCGTAAATAAAGAAAGAATTCTGGGTCCAAATATGTAATATGTCCCATCCTCAGTACAACTAATATTGCAGATGTGGAAGAAATACTATGTAGAATTTCAAGAGATAAGAGGGAAGGTGTAGGCATTTATTACATTTTCTGTGGTCTTTTCAGTTTTGGTAAATCCTGAATTATGTAATTTATGTGATGCATAGGTGTTTTTTCAGGAAATGTGCGTTCCACCAGGTGAAGGAGCCTTTAAACTAGTCTTCCAAATCTTTACAGGACCACATTTCAGACAGATCCATTTCTAATCATAACAGAAAATTAAATATTTCACCTGATTTACAACTGTAACATGAAGAAAAAAAAATTAATTATTTTTGGTAGTATCTTACGGATTCATCTGAAAGCCCATGCTGTCTTTCAGTCAGCTCTGTGGCACATGTAACAGAAATCTGCATGATTCTTAGATGAGTCTTCCAGGTGTTAAGCTACAACTTCAAATTCTTCTGCATCAAAATTTAATTTACATTTATGTGGGGTGTTACAAAGATGCCCTCTTCTTTTTAGCAGACTTCACAGATAAAATTTGGTAAATGGGAAGGAATAGGAAATAGGTAACACTATTAGTTTAAGCAACTACTGAGCAATGTATTTCTCACCCAGGAAAGTGAAAAATTTCTAGTATCTCTTTGTGGCTTACAGATTCCCCACAAATGTTCTTTCTCTCACACAGTCCTAGACACACTTTGGGCTGTGTCTGATCACATCAACCTCAAATTTGGCCCTGCATGTGTCCAAGCAGAACCTTTTAAATTTCATACAATCTTGTGTCAACAGGACAACCTATTGTTCAAGTTGTCCTTGCTTCGATGTAAAGATAAGGGGTTCATTTAGCTACCTGCATCACTGTGAAGTTAAGTAATCTCTTAGACATTCATTATTTTCCATTGCACAACCAGTTTGATTGGGTCAGCTTTGGGTTGTAAATAAACTAATGACCTTTGGGGAAGGGTAGAGGACACAGCTCACATAAATTTTTGTGTTGTTATGTTACTGTGTGGGGTTTTTTGTTTATTTAAGGTCAGTTAGAGAAGTTGGTGGTAAGACTGACTAATTTCTCTAGTTTGTTGGACTGTACTTGGTGTCTTCTTCCTTGCTATCTGTTTTCTGCCTCTGATAAACTGAGTAAAAGAATGTCACCAGTGAATCTCCATAGAAAAAATTAGTGTCATTAGTCTGACCAACTCAATAGATGCATTCCAGCACCTTTCTGGTGAAGGTCAGCAACCTCCTTGTGCTGATACCTAGCATAATCATGGTAAAGATGAGTCCAGCAAGTGATAAAGGCTGCATATAAGAGGTGCTTTCCTGTCTTAAAAGTTTTTTCTATAATCTTCTGGCAGCTATTTTGAAGAGAGAGAGCATTAGAGGAAGGTGTAACAGCTCCACTAATGACAAAGTAGAGGGTTCAGAGATGGAGGGGGGAAAAACACTGAGATGGAAAGCAGTGTGAACACAGTGTGCAAGGGGAATGAAACCTTGCCGCTGTGCAGCACATGGTTTTATCAAGACTGGGGGCCTTGCAGAGACACAGAGCAGCTGAGGAAGGGTTCATCCTGGGAGAAAGGCTTTTGTGCACTAGAGCAGATGGTGTTTTCCCCATGTCTGGGATTGTGCTCTTGCCTTCTGGCAAAAAAGGCGGGGGGAGGTAGAAATCCTGGGGTGGAAAAGAGGTGAGCTTAAATTCATTGAAGTGATAGTCATCTGAGCATAGGTAGAGCAGGTATTTATTTAAACCAGCCATGAGAAATGTTTGTCTCCTCTTTCCTGCAGATGTTCCTGTCACTTCTACTCCGGTCACTGCATCCTACCATGGCTGCATGACTGTCAAGCTGAGCAACAAGGCACTGGACTTAGATGAGGCTCTCTACAAGCACAGTGACATCACCTCACATTCCTGTCCTCCAGTTGAGGCAGGTCCGTAGGTACCACTACAGTGCGAAAGTTTTATACTCAGAAACTTTCAATGCTTTTCTTTTTTTTTAAAGATATAAATTATTCAGATCTACCGCACTGCGTGTATAGTTTCTCTTAAACACTGAAGTTATGTAGGAGCTACTGATCTTTATGTCAGATTGATTATTGAAATACTCTTTGCTTTGAGGTTTAAAGGTTGTAATATATTTGTAAATAGTTCAGAAGACTAATATTAAATAAGGCAGAAGTACAGAATATACCAAAAGTGAATGTTATCTTTAGGCTGTAAGAGACAGTTTTATCTGTAATGTGCAAACTATGGTAATATATCAGTGTGGACTGGAAGAAAAATAATAATTCTGTATTATTTTTTATTACCAAACACTGCTTTCTGATTTGCAAAATATGAGAGAATAAAATATTTACATACAAGTTTTTAATTTACCTGTACTGAGATTATTCTGTATTCTGGTATTTGGAAATAATGACTCAGATTATGCCTGATGTGGAGATTAAAGTAGTGGGGGGTGCTGTTTGGTTGGTTTAGGGTTTTTTTGGAGGTTGGGGGGGTTATGTGCTTACATCTGTATTATATATCTTCTCAGCTGGAGAGCAAATGGTAGCTGCTATTCTTACTGCTAGAATTTCTCTTTCTGGTACCTCGAAGACTCAGTTGTGACCTTTAGAAAACCTTTTGATCAACAGAAAATGGAGAACAAAGTTGGGTCAGCAGGAAACATTTAGAAGAAACGACTCAATAAGTTGAAAGCCACGTGGCTTTTTTGTCAATAGCCACTGAAACAAATGATGAGGTGTTGAGCATTGGGGAATATTATCTGATGATGACATATTTTTGCTGCTGAATTTTTAGGTTGGCTGACTCACTGTGACTGTAGTGGGAGCAGAAAAGCTTGAGCTGTGAGAGTTAACCAGGCCGAACTGCAGTGAGGTGGGAATACACATGAGGATTTACTCAGGAGAGGTTGTAGAGCCATAAAGTGCATTCAGCTTTTAAGCTGTGCCTGTGAAGTTGGGCTGGGCTTTGCCTAGCCTGCTCTGAGCCACTTAAATCTTGCTTTATTTGGTCCTTGTTTTGCACCAGATTAATAAACTGAGTAATACAGGTGTATCCTGTAGTGCAAAATCCAAATACCAGATGGCTAGTATTACACAATGCTTCAGAGGGCTAATGTGGAAAAGGTCTAATTCTACAAGGTCTTTTATAAATTATTCCTGGTCATTCAGGTCATGTTTTTCCTAAGCAAATATGGAGATGGCACATTAGTCTAATAATCCACATGTGTGGCAACATCTGTGACCAAGCTGTGAAGATGTAACTGTCCCAGAGGAAAAGATGAAAGAATGGGAAGACTATCCCAAGCATATTTTCTGACAAAGATCCCTGCTTTATTTAGCAGAGAAGAGGAAGGTACTCTATTAGCCATTAGACAGCACAGCATCATAGCTCCATGTCATGACCGAATCAATCAGCAGTAATGCAGTAGGGCAGAAAAGAACTTCATCACTTTCAACCAACCTACTCATTTATACTTGGAGAAGGACCTGTCAAAAAACTCTTGACACTCAGGTCTAACCAGACACAGGTTTGAAAGGGAAGTTTCTCACTGGACAGTAATAACTTATTGGCAGAGTGCACGTGAATAGAAAAAACAAGAAGTAGTTCTAGTTTTTGCTTTTTTTGACTGAGCAAGGGAAACCATGTTATTCCTGAGAGTGCTTTATGTTAGAGCTGATGACTCTGGATCAATTTGTGATTTGATGGAGGACCCCAGAAAGATTAAATTAGTATCTTCAGTAAGAACTGGAAGTCCTGAAGATACTCTGGTTAATAGCATGTCCACACTGCAGAGTTTTTCATGGTTAGTTTAATCCTTTACCAAAATACACCTCTGTGCTGGTTTTGGTTAATATTCATCATGTTAGGCAATATGGGTCTATAGTTCGGGTTTGTGCTGGAAACGGTGTTGGTAACTCAGGGATGTTTTAGCTATTATTGAGCAGGGCTTGTACAGCATCAAGCCCTTTGCTGCTGCTCACCCCACCCCACCAGCTGAGGGTGCACAAGGAGTTGGGAAGGGACACAGCCAGGGCAGCTGACCCCAACCCACCGGAGGGATATCCCACACCATATGGCCTCATGCTCATATAAAGCTGGGGGAAGAAGGAGGAAGGCAGGGACATTCAGTGTGGTGGTGTTTGTCTTCCCAAGTCACCATTACATGTGACATTTCCCAGCTTTCCTGCAGGTGGCTGAACACCTGCCTGCTCATGGGAAGTGGTGGATGAATTCCTTGTTCTGCTTTGCCGGCATGTGTGGCTTTTGCTTCGCCTACTAAACTTTATCTCAACTCATGAGGTTTTTACATCTATCCTTGCGATTCTCTCCCCCATTCCAGGGGGAGAATGAGCAAGTGGCTGTGTGGGGCTGAACTGCTGGCTGGGATCAAACCACAACGATTTCCCATCTCTTTACTTTTTTCAGTAGAGATTAATCCAAGTTAGACATGGAAGGCACCTATTTTTAAACTAAGAAGATGAAACAAACTCTGTTTTTCTTTGTTCTTTTGAAAGGAAGCGTGTTAGAAAAATAATCCTATGTCTGGTGTTCTTGTATAATTTCTGTGGTAGTTCCCAAAAAACTACCATGTGGCATAAATGAATGACAAACATGTTTTACTTTCGTGTTAATGTTAGTGGCATTATTTATGAGGCCAGAATTATTTCAGGTCCTGGAAATTTGAGTTCTGTGGTACATTACGGTACTCTGCAGTTTCGTCCTAAATGCTATGTGAACAAGAGTATTTCATTTTCTAATTCAGAGCAAAAATTGCTCCAGGACCTTGCATATGTGTGTATGTGTGTAAAGACATTTTGCATAGAACACAATGCACCCTGACTCAAAATGTGTTTTAGAAAAGAAATCCAGAATTTCTATCTGGAGAAGAACAGAAGCGGGACGGGGAGAGTTCTTTTGTGTAAAGGTGAATCTTTTAAATACCCTACATCAGTACCACACTGGAGGAAGAGGTCTGGAGGAGGAGGCAGCTGCAATAAGCATTCCTTCTCAGTCATTGCTTCGACCTAAGAGAAACACTGATTTCACTTTTTTTTCAGTTACTAGTTTAGGTGCTCAACTCAAAGGGAGCAAGTCTGTTCTGGGATTTGAGTCCTCAGAATGAACCCAGGTGATTCCCCTGGTAGTATTCACAGCAAGCAAAAAGAAGTAAATGTGTAGTTCCACTTAATTCATAACCATGGTGACTGTGCTCTTCATAGCATGTATTTGCTCAAGGGCTAAGCATTTTGGATGCATTAAATTAATGTTTAAAACAAAAATAATGGTCTCTTTTCTGACTTTTGTTTCTCTCGATCAGGTTCATATAACTCAACAGTACACATAAGGCACCTCATCACTGATGTTAACATCACTGGCCTAAAACTTTGCACCTCAGGAAAACCTTAACAAAAGGTGGCTTTTATGATCGATATAAATTAATCCCTGATCTTACATGTAATAGTACTGAATCTGCTTCTGCTTTTGATACACAGATGTACAGGAATTAACAGAAATTTCTTGAAACTTGGAAAGTATGATCATTCTTTGTTCTACTTTGAGCAGGTCTGATGGTGTCACTTCCTTTAAAAGGAAACTGTCAAGTAAGCTGATTTTGTTTATATGTTTTTTTTCAATATCTTCATAATTCAGAGCAGCTGCTTAAAACGTTAATCAGAAATACCTTCCTTTCCCTACTTTGCTCTTTGGCCTCTCAGGAAATTTTTATAGCTTCACTGATGTCTAGACTGTTAGATCTATGGAGCAAACAGCACCAGCATCCTTCCTGCAGGAGCAAAATGCAGTAAAGGGGTGCAGCAGTCAGATGGGTTTTCATGCTGGTGTAACCACTCCTGTCCCAAAATGTGGCAGCCAAGTGCCAAGATGAATCCCAGCCAATGCGATGCACGGTGAGGCAGAACGGTGCACACATCAGGGACATGTTTTTTTTCCTGTCAATGGCACTGCCAGAGGTACTGTTGCTTAACCTTGTCTCTATACAATAGGAGAAAATAATAAAAAAAAAAAAGAATTCTGACTGTTCATTTCATTCTGTCTCAGTCATTGTAAACTGCCTGCATCAGGTCTCGATCAGTTTAAAAATAAGTAACTGGCATTAAACATAGGATGGTTTTGGTTGTGGTCCTCTTTTGACTAGAAAGGAAATAATTTGAACACTAAAGCGCAGCCTAAAATACATGTCTGGAAATTTCATCTTTAGCACACTGACATGACATTTTACTATGCAGACTAGACTGGCACAAAGTACAGATTTAACAGTCCAATAAAATTAGCCTTTCTGTCTGAAACTTGAAAAAGGAAACTGCTTGGTAGGGTACTTCTTCCTCTGTTATTTTGTTTTCCTGTCCTTACAAATACAGACAGCCTTAGGTACAGTATAAATAGACACGGTGAATTTTATTGTAAAATAATTGCCACACTTTATTGGTACAACACTTTCACCAGAAAGGGTTATTAAATAAATACTACAAGCAAACAAACACCTGGCCTCTTACTGAAGATTATTGACTCAGAGAGCTTCTGACTACCCACTCAGACAGCACAGGCTTAAACCCCTCTATATTGGTTTATGAAAGAACACAAATCCAGAGTGTTTTCTTCATTTCTCTTCTTGAAGAAAATCTATTCTGCAGTGCACCAAGAAGGAAACATCTCATCCTTACAGCAGCCAGAAAGCACTACTACACCTGACTGCAGGCAAACTAGGTGGTGACTGGATGCCCCAGTGGTGATGTGCCTGCCCTTACATTTCCAGGGTTCTGCCCTGCTCACAGTGAGATGCAGGTAAAAGCAGAGTGGCTGTAACACACACTGCAGAGGGTTCCTTTGGGAAGTCTAGTGCTTGCACAGCAGTTTCCAGAGATTTCTTAGAAACAAAAGCCTACCAGCTACCTCAGATAAATTCTTTGTTCTATGGTGCATATGGTGGAGGCTTTTCTCCAGGCAGGCAGTAAGTAGGTGCATACAGGGCTGGAGCATTCGGGGGAAGACCATAGCTGGAGCTGGACTGAGATGGAGGCTGAGTTTCTTCTGATAAAGAAATGTCAGTAGATGATGTTCCTGGAAAATTGTTGGCAGGCTGTATGTAGACAGAAGAAAATACCTTCTTCAGTAAAGGATTACAACCCCATTGCAGTTCCATTGTTTTTAGCCATAAAAGTGTTAGATAATAAGCCCCATGATTAAATTTCTCATGCACTGCAGCTCAACATTAACTTTAGTTCTAAAGCACCTGCTTAAGTCTAGCAATGATGGTGTCTAGTGAAACAAGACAGGTTCCGTCTGTAACCTAAGTGATTTTTAATAGACATTGTGCAGACAGCTGGGCAATAGAGCAGAACAGGAATTTCTGCAGGAAAAGATGCTCTGACTTCCTGGGTGAGGCACAGCACCTGACCAGCTGATTAGGTTACGTGTAGCTGCTCATTTCCAGGCATCACTGTAAAATTTAAATTACCTCAGATGTAATTAATCTCAGTTATAGTACTTGCATAAATGCAAGGTCTTATTCCTTTGCCAAATGCAAATTCCTCTTAAGAAAATTTTACAGGTAGGCATCTGTCTCCCTGTAGGTCTTTCACTTTGGCTGTCTCAGCTGTGATGGGGCTTTGGTTGCAAGAGGCACAGAAAATATACAGAGCTTAGGAAGGAGCCCATGTTCAGCAACAAGCAGAATTTTATTAAAACAAAAGAATCCATGTAGGGAATAATGTTCTGGATAAAATCCTGCCACTCCTTTAACCAAGTTTTGTCACTGATTTCAGGAGGGTCAGGATTTCACTCCTCCCCTCATGCCAGCACATGCCAGTCTATGCGCTTCAGCTGGAGAGTTGGGCTCAACTCCCCTCACATTCAGGCTTTAAGTGCCCGGAATTTAGAAAACAAAATGAAATAATCATGTCTCTTTTTCAAGGGGATTGAAAAATATGGCAAGTAAACGCTGCTCCCTGCTGCTAAAAAAATTAATAGCCACAATCTCAAAGGCCAGTACCAGGGCTGGCCCTTGGACAGTGGCATCTCAGAGCTGCCCAGGGCTAGCAGACCCCATGCCAAAGTGCCCAGCTTCTCCACAGGGCTGGGGGTGAACAGGGGCTGTTGCCCTGGGTCAAACCCTCCTGGCAAGGAGAATGTTGTCCTGCATTTGTACCACAGGGTGACTTAGTGAATGAGAAAGGAGACATCCTGACAGGAAGGCTGATTATGTCCTTTAACTCTCTGAGGCAGTGCAGGTATGCTAACAGACCTGCTAGCTACATCAGCTCCAAATCTAGTTGTGGGTTTGGATTGTTTTGTTGGGTTTTTGGTTGGTTGGTTGGGTTTTTTGTTTGTTTGGGGTTTTTGTTGGGTTTTTGTTGGTGTTTTTTTTTGTTTTTTTATTTTGGAGTTGTTATTTCCCTCCCCTCTCAAACTGCAACCACCACTTCCATCTGTTTGCCTGGAATTGCCTCTAAAGCAAGTTCTCCTCTAGCACGAATGACTGGCACAACCTGTACTGCTGTCATCACCACCAGTCCCTGCACAGCTAATCACTACCATTACCTGACCAGTTGGCAGACCTGTTACTAAGACTGGTTGTGGCTGAATTGTACCAGTAAGTGATGAATGATTTTGTTGGCACAATAAACAAAAGAAATGCAGTGAGATCCTGGATTCAGCAGAGTAACAGGAATGAATGTTGTATACCTTTAGCCTGAGATAACCCACGTGTGACTCTGAAGGTTAGACCAGCTGAGGCAGGGTCTCCTATTCTGTGGACAGCTAGAGCTTAATTCAGTTGCCCACACGTAAGTGCTCAGCCCTTTTGGGATGCCAAGGATGTTCCAGATATCCACGCAGATTTGACACAGAGAGGACTACAGGACTTGAACCTAGATTCTCTTAAGAGTAGCAGGAGGGAACAGGTGGCTACTTGATCTCATTATTAGGCAGTACTAGATCCCTACATGCCAATAGCCCCTGCATTTAGTCAGATGAATCCTGGCCCCAGATTCCCAGCTCCCGGCATTAAGAACTAGACCAGCTGAGCTGGGTTTGTGAAGGCCTGAATCCAGCAGCTTGGAGCACTGAAATGGATCATGAAGACCTCCAGCCCCGTGGATTCAGCTCACAGCTCTCAAGTAATGGAAGCAGATGACAATTAAGCTTCTGGCTGTTCTTAATCATCCCTGCTTTCAGTATTCACCATTTGTAGCTTTGAGTAAGTTAATTATGATTTTTTAACTCATATACTGATGCAGAAATTACTTCTCTACCAACTGCAACATAACGAGCTCAAACATACAGGGAGTTGATGGCTGGCTTTTTTTTTCTCTTTCTCCCTAGGAATAAATAAGATTAAATTTTCCCTTTTGGAGCCAAGTGCTTCTCACTAACCTGTCCTGGATTGGGGACAACTGGTGGTGTCTGCCTATGAATGTTATGAAGGGGAAAGAAGACAAATGAACACACTTCCCTGAAAAAGTAGAAATTAGGAAAATAACTGTGTGTGTTTTGGAATGAAGATAACAATTTGGGGTAAATACAGTATATTTCTGTTTCTCAGTGATGCAGGACTGAACAGTTACAATGGATCCTTATGACTACTTACATGCATCTTTTCAGCTTAATTGCTTTCTTTCATCTGTTTTTATTCCCTTCTCTCTCTACTCTTGGCTACATGCTAACCAAAACTCTGCAGAACAGCATGGCTTTGCAGCTAAAAGCAAACAAAAAGAGATGTTCTTTTTTGCCTCTCAACCCTTGGTCTCAAAGTGCCTGGCCCCATTTATGTTAATAAATAAGCCATGCCAAGGACTGTTCTCTGGCTGTGAAGCCAACTGGCACAGCACGTATGATATTCCTACAGCTGAACTCTTACCACCAAACCAGTGGGACTGTCTGTGTGCATGCTGCCGACTGGGAACAGTCCATTGCCCTTGCCATCTCCTGACCCCTTCCTAAGCATTTTTGGGAGACTGTTAGGGGGTCTGGGCAGCATGCTAACCATTCACTGGTGTGAATGATCATTGTGTCGCAGTACTGGTTCCTGGTAACTTATTGGCCCTGAACAGATGTAGCCCAGGAGGCTGTGGAGCACTGGTCCACTGTTAGTTCATGCTAAATTGTGCAGTGTTTTCAATTAAGAAGTATTGCAAAACTTGTGGTACCCATTGGTCTAGCACTACACAGCCCAAGTATAACAAACCATCATATGGAACAGAACAGTCTCACTGTACTTCACTAGATCTAAAAGCTCCTATGATTGCTACAGGGTCTCAGTATATTTAATTATTTACCATATCGCCCTATGTTCATCACCTCACTCTGGCGGGGAAATAAAAAGGCAAACACCATCCTCAGCATCACTCTTTGCATTTTCCAAGCCAGCTCTGCCTGGACACAACACAGGCTTGGAGCATGACATGCACCTCAGTCTTCTGAAGGAGGTGACTGATCTGAAGCTGACTCAGCTTATGCTGTATCCCCTCCCACAAAGGGCAGAAGCTGCACCTCTGGCAGCTTTCCTTCCTGCTTTCAGGCCAGCTGCCTCTGGTCAGTGAGGCTCACCAACCTCTGCCAACTGCCAGAGCTGCTCTGTACCTGTTGTGGACCAGTGGTGGCCTGTGGCAGATGCTTATAGGAAGCTGAAAGAAACAGGGCTCCATCTTCTGATAAGCCCCTGTTGGTTCTTGTGGCTGGCAGACATTTGGGATCTTGCTGGGCTGCAAGTGAAACCTGAATCCCTAACCCCTCATTTATACTCCTCCACACTATTCTGTGGCATTTGAATCTTCTCTTGTTTATAAAAGCACTTCCTATTTCTGGCTTATATTGCCCCTTAACAGCTTTACTGAGGCAACCAGAACTTTGTGTGTAAGAAGTTATCACTAATATCCATCCACAATCCTTTCTGTAGCACTCAGTTTCACGGGCCTCTTATTTCCTCCCCTTTCTTGTCTCCTCTCCATCTGATAAGTCCTAATATACTTATATTAATTTATATATATATATATAATATTAAGAGTAGGGTGGGCTAAGGTGTATACATTTTTCAGCCAAATCCTGTGTGTGTCAGATGCTTCCTTTGGCTTCCCCAGTGCCTCTGTTGCTGCTTTATCTTGCCCAATATGGGGGCTGTGTTCACCTTCATAACTACTTGTACACAGCCTGAATCCCACACTGGAATTCCTGATCAGTAAAGGACAACCAGGGAAAGCCCAAGGTCTGAGAACAGACCTGAAACTTAGTGCACTCTAACTCATCCCAGTGAGATGGGATCCAACTTCCTTGCCTTGGTTCAAACCCCCAGGAGCTAAGACCCCCAGGAGCAAAGTATGTACTGAGTAGCTTTTCTGATGTGCCATTTTGTACTGTACCTGAAGAGCTAATGGGTAGGATGGATATGTAGAAATAGTTGCTGCAGAAGGACAGAACCCAGCATATGTCAGGATCTGCTGGGCAGGATTGTACAGGATCTGAGGAGGAGGTGCGGCATTGAAAGCAATTTGGGACAGAGGTACCTGTTGAGCACAGAAGACAACAATATATCAGCACAGCAAAAAGGGAGCTGGAGCAGGAACTGCTCCTAACACAAGCAATCAGACAATTTAACAACTTTCTATTTTCCAACACAATACCAGTAGTACAGAAAACCAAGGAGCAGACAGAATGAGAGGGTGTATCCAGAGTGAATTTTCTGAGTAAAAATACAGAGCTATTTTAATCTTTCCTTGGAAAAAGACGGCTGGTGCTTCCCTAGCAACAGTTCTAGAAGCACTGGCAGGACTCCAGATCTGAGGCAGCCTGAAGAGCACAGCATACAGTATACATTTGGCTGCCTCTTCCCACTCATTCCAGCACCAAACACCCAGTCCTTCACCATTTGCTGCAGACGCTTTCCAACAGCAACTATCTGATGCCCTCTTGTCTTTTCTCTCTGCTTTCCTACACAGATTTACAAAGATCTCCCTTTCCAGACTAGTTGCTCTTCTTTCACAGCTCCCTCTCACTTGTGCAATGGAGTTTGCTGCCGGCTCTCCAGTATCACTCTTGACATGCAAACCTCAATCCTACCACGTAAAATCCTTTTCCTGTGGCTTTATTGGCATGTCCCTTAATTACAATGTGAAATGAGGTTTGCAGGAAGAAGTAAGAGCTCATATTAAACCAGCTAATAAAACCTGGTAAGGAAAAAAAGACCAAAAGCTAAATGTGAAAGGGGGTTTGTGTTAAACCCTAAACCCATGTGCTATGTAACCATTTGTGAAGGACAACAGAGCTCTGTGAAAGATTTTCTTGAGATAAATCCAGTGGGTTTTTTTCTTTCCTTTGTTTTTGTTAGCAGATTCCTCCACATGAGAGCATGGAATTTTCTTTTCACTAAAATAATAAAACATGGTGGTTGCCAGACAAATGCTGAAAGCAGCAGCCAGGATTCTTTTTTCTTGGCATTTCCTTTCAGATTTATCGGTGAGAGACATAAACCACTGTATCCTCTGGAGATAGTGTGAGACCTCTCTGAGATTGAGAAAGAGGAATATTAATTGTGTTTGTACATAGAAAACGTCATCTAGGTCACTGATGTACCACATGAGGTTACCTGACAATTTAGGCCTTAGCTCCTTAGAGAAATTTAGCATTTTAGGAGCTGGCACAGGAAAAGGCTGGGGTTGAAAGCAGAGAGCTTATTTCATGGGAGAAGGCAAGTCTCTCATTTTTAAGACATCCTCAGAAACACTTTCCTCTGCAAGGTAGCCCCCTTTCTACCCACCCTGCTGGGTGGATATGGTAGGGGGAAGGGAAGAAACACTGCCTTTCAGACAGAGTGAGATGCAGTTCACGTACTTGCCTCAGACCCAAAGGTTTGTGGCCAACAACAAGGCCCCAGAATGTGCCCTTCCTTCCTAGGAGGAGACCAATCAGATCCCTCTGGCTACGGACATAAATGCATCAAGAAACACTTTCCCAGTGTGAAACACAGATGCCTGTTCTGCATCTGTCGCTAGCTTTCTGGTGTGACTCTCTTTGGGTGCTGCTATTTGACCTGCTTTGTGTTCTTCTCCTGGGAACCTCTCTCAGTCCTCTCACCTTCCCTCTATCGGTAGCAGCAGCAATGCTCTCTAATTGCTAAGGATGAACATCACTACAGTCCTAAGAGACAGTTTTGGAGAGTCATCTACTCCAAATCCACTGATCAAAGCACCTTACTACCAAGCTATCTGATCTCAGCCCAGAGCCAGCAACAATTTGCAGGTACTGAAGCTGGTTGAATGATTTTATCAAGTATTCCAGTAATAACACTATGTTAAATTAATCACCTAAAATACACTGGTAGGTGGAGACATTCTAAACTAAACCACCACCCAAGTCAGAGATAAAGAGCCACCAAGTGGTCAGGGTGTGCTGCCAGTGTTAGCTCATTGGCCTGACACAGATCTGCCAGAGCATTTATTTCCAAGCTACGGTTACTTTTCACATCAGACTGCACCTTTAGTTGTATAAGTGCTAAGCCATGGCAAGTAGCTCAGTAATTAGGTATTAATTTTGTTTTCCTTTTTAAAGTAGGGTGAAGGAAGAGGAGAGGGGCTACAGGAATGCTATTCAATCTGTTCAGATTCCCTTAAGGAGACTGCAAGAAGGAGACTAATTGGGGAAAAAAAAAAAAAAAAGGCAGCAACCCCCCTCACCCCCCAGAACCATCAGTAGTTCAGATTAATGCAACCCTAAACTCCGAGAAGGCAGATTCCTTGGCAAGGTGTGTCAGGAAAACATCCAGAAGTCATCAGATGAATACTGGGACAGGGCAGGGAATTTCTAGATTAACTCTTAGCACCAGCAAGTGAAGTTTTCCATGCAATTCTTTACCTCGGTCTTCTGTAAGAAATAATCACAGTGTGTTATCATTTTGGATACTGTAAATCCATCTATTTAAGTTATATATTAACCTGCTTTTTGTTAATGGTGACTTTAAGGTAACAGCCTAGCTGGTGTCCTATATCCAAGCACACTGTAGACCTGGAAAGGAAGGTACCTGTCACAACCACTGCAGCCCCACGGGTTACACAGGGGCCACTGAGCTGACATCTTGGGAGTCAGGAGTGGATGAAATGTTTCCCACTGAGCCAGAACAGCTCTCTGGCACAAAGCAAAACCACAGGGAGCGTGCCAGGGTCTGCAGGGAATTTGTCACAAGAAAGAAAGCCCGCAAAAACCAAAGCAACACTTTTTTTTTTCTGTCCAGGAAATATGATGGGTTTAAAGGCAACGGCACTGTTTTGCAAACTCTCCCCTTTGTAGCATATTTTGGCTGCCAGCATTCCCCAGAGATAAACATGATGTTTTTTGTTTGACTAGTCAGTCTGGCCCCCTGTGTTTTCTGGAAGTCAATTCCAGACCAATGCCTTGAGGCGTTTCAGCTGGGCTTTGCAGCTCTTCCTGCAAAATGCCAGCAAGCACTTCTGTGGGAAGGTGACATCCAGAAACAAAGAAGTTCTCCAACATATTTTAAAGGGTTAGCAGGCAACGTACAAGGTCATGGAGACCCCAGTTCTACCAGGAACATCTCCTTGGCTTGATATCCCTCACACGCAGTGCAGTCACGGCTCCGTGAAGCACAGAGCTGTATCTGGGCTGGAGCTTGCGCTGCTACAAATGCATCAGCCCAAATCCCATGTATGCCTTGGTTTGAGCAAGACAGATTAAGTGGATTTGGGCCGGCTCTCTGTACCTTTTCCCGTCTCAAGAGAACACTAGCAACTGCAACAGCTGCACTTGCACACATCTGCTAGGCAGGGAAAACACTCAGTGGCACTGAAAAGCTGCAATGCTCTCTCAGGGATGTAGTGTAGATGATGCCTCATGTAGCTGCTCTCTCCCTTGTTTCCCACTGCGGTTGCTTCAGCCATTGCTTCTCTAACGGGGAGGGGATGAATTAAGATGGGAAAGCTGCTTCCCCTCCCTCCCATTGAGCAGCTGCATCTCTTTACTGGCTGGCTGCAATCTTATCAACTCCTTGCAAGAGTACCCTCACTTAAAGGACAGCTCAAGCTGCACATTTCTTTCATGGGAAAGCTCAGGATGCTCATTTGCCTTAAGCTAGAGAGGGAAATATTTCCAGGAAATTTTGCAACTTTTCACAGAGATGAATTTCAAATAATTCATATGGCCCTGCTCTGACATGTGGTTTTAAGCACCCAACACATGTTGTAGCTAGCCCGGGCATGCTTGCTGAGGAACTCTGGGTGGTCAGAACCAGGACTGGATGGCCTCCAGTCTGAAAGGGTCCTTGGCTCACTGGCTGCCAGCTCTGAGCAGCACCTTCCCTCTAGTCTGCCCCTCCTCCTGCCCAGATGTATATCTCAGCTGTCTCTCTTGCTTTGTCTTCCCTGCTCCATCCCTCTCTTCTTTTGTTTTACCTCTCTTTTTGTTTAGTTTTTGCCTCTGGAATAGCCACCAGAAACATCACGGATCTAAGATGACCTGTGCTGCTATCACACCTCCCTTTGGCTCCTGCATTTCACCTCCATCCCCACACCTCCACCCATCTTAGTTTGGAAGATCTTTGGGCTGGGACCATCTACTTCTCTGAGAGCCTAATCAATCATGAGCCCCTTTGTTGGTCTTTAGGCACTGCTTTAGCAAACATGACCAGTGACTGCTAATCCCAGGATTAGCAACTTCACCCTTTTAATGTGTGAGAAAATCTAGGTGGATGAGGCATTGTATCAGATAACCCCTCCCAGCTAACAGCCTCTTCTGGATGCAGTATTGCACATCAGCACAACATGGTGGTGTGGCACAGGGAGCCACATTAGAAGGTGGCATTCCTTAGTGAAGCAAAAGAGGACGTTAATGTGACCTGAGTACACAACTGTTTAAATAAAAACTTAACTGGTACTTCAGAATTCATCCCCATTCTTGGGGAAAAGAACTACGTAAATTAAACAGTCACTAGGACTTGAGTTTTCCGTGTTAGCTACAAACTAGCATGCTCAGACTCTGTGTTGGCCCACATGTTCAGTGATGAATTAGTAGGGGAAAAAAAAGATGCTGCTAACTGAATTGTCATCATTTGTTCAGACAGGCCCCTGTTTTTTTCCCTTCTATTCATGTATTTGACCAGGCTTGACCTACTTAGCTGTGAGCAGCTGGCAACAGCTTAGCCTAAAGATGTAACTCCAGACTCCCAGAACACACGTTTAAAGTGTCTCCTTTGTACACTTATGCTTCCTAGGTTTTAACCCATTTGATAATGTCAACAAGCACAGACGTCCACACATAAGACAAAGGGCTGAGCCTTACCATGTCTTTAAAGGCCCCAAGAATGGCTGCCGTAATAATGCCCAGAAACAAGCCGATGATGTTGAGGACTGTGGAGGACCAGAGCAGCCTGTAGAGGTGAACCACATCCTGACAGCTGCTCACACCAAGAAATTCGTAGTAGCTGGAGGACTGGTCTGAACTGAAAGGGAATGCAGACAATGTCACTGCAGTGGGAAGTGTTTCACACATAATATAGAGCTCTAAAGGATCTGAATCCTTCCTGCTTGCTTTGCTCTTTGGCAAAGTACTTCATCCATGCTCCCACCAAACACTGCTCAGAAGAACTGGATAAAGCTCTGCTGTAAAACTGACTCTGCTAAGGCTAGCATCAAACATGTAGTCCAGCTAATACCAGCTCTAGTTTGGCTGATTGGTGGTATTTATCAGCATGGACTCTTTGTTATTTTTTACTCAGGGTCTCTGAACACAGGCAAAGTCTTGGTATATGGATGCTTGTCATTCAGCTGCCAGCTAAGGCATGCTTACCTTTGATTTTTTTTCACAGCTCATCTGCTGGCATCTCTGAAACTGGGGAAAGCAAGTTGCTTAAGCATTAATTCAACCACAGGAAGGAGGTTTTTCCAGCTGGCTACACTTGTTTATGGTGTCTGTGGTTCCAAATTAAGAAATGCAACACAGTACAGTATAAAGATGTGTCCTTACACTGTGGATTGTACTATCCAGAAATCTTTGTTCATATTTCTACACCACACTGGTTATTGCAAATCAGGCATGTTTAATCCTCATTGTCTTGCCAAAAGCCAGAAATATCCTACAGCAAAATTTGAAACCACAGGTTCCTTCCTGTAGCTCTTTCTGGTACCTGCCTGAATTCTAGCCCACTAATGAGTTCCTAGGGCAGCTATTTGAGTTGCAAGGATTTTTTTAAATGCCAAGCCTGTTTTCCCACTGTTAGGAAATTGCCATCAGATTATGGTGGAAACCAGAAGTGACCAGTTTGTGCTCACTCTTCTGTTCCTCCATCCCGAGCACATGGGGCAGCAGTGGAGATGGTGGTTAGGGAAAGCTCTGCAAAGGAAGGCAGCAGTGTGGAGAAACTCGCAACATTTCTGGGAACAACCAAGGCAGGCGTAGTCCTGTCCAACCAATGGCTTGAGGACATGGTTCTGGCACTGAAGAACCACTACTGCTGAGTTCACTTGGGCACTATCATGAGCCCATCTTAACTAAACAAGCCTGTAACTTCAGCTACCACGAGGCTGAGGAAATCTGATTTGTGATCCTGCCTACATACCAGTCTACTCTATGGCTGAGAACAAGCCACTCTGTGTGACTGTGTCTAGTCCTACTTTTCTCTAGCCATCCTGTGAAGTGGAATTGCCAAGTCTCTAGAGCAGCATGACTGCTTATTTACTCTGAATTTGTCCATGCCAGTTCCATAGGATCTTGCTGTCCACTGTAAAGGACACACATGTTTAATTGTATCATAGAATACCGTCACAGCAGTGATCAGTCCCAGGTGTTTCAGACAAACCCCTCATGCTTTAAACAAGAGAGTTTCACTGACTTTTCTTTGATAACTCTGCATACTTCCAGCCCTTGAGAACCCCTCTTCTTTTATGTACTGAATTGTGCTGTTTGATTCAGTGTTAACATGCAGCAGTTAGCTGTGTACCATGGAAGGAAGCATTCTCAGGATATACATTGCAGATGTATATGCAATGCATTGCACATATGGTGTTCCATCATTTGTCTGTCATAGAAATGTCTGATTGACTAATGTGAGGACTTCTGTGCTTGTTGTCTGTCACGGAAAATATACCACAGTTGTGCATTCTCTACCTTTCCCATTTCACTTGTTTTGTATAACTCCACCATATCCAGATTTAACATTTCTTACATAAGCAAAAGAGACATTCGTATGTAGATTTTAATCCATCCTGTAGACCTGCACTCGCTTTTTGTCTTCTATTTGCATGAGAAATATGGATGCAAAGATGACTTACCCCTAGTCCCAAATGTCATTTTTCACTTCTCTGAGTCAGGAATTGGGCAAGAGCTACTTGCTCTTAAGATGAGGCTGGCTGTGGCACTGAGTGCCATGATCTAGTGAATCACGGTGAGGTTGGATCAAGGGTTGGACTTGATGACCTCGGAGGTCTCTTCCAAGCCAGTTAATTCTATGATTCTGTGATACTTTGTTACACAGAAGTCTTGATTGTGCCACCCTTGTTTCCCCACACCCAAAATGTTCATGTCTGGCAGGATGCTAGCCAAGGCTTGCAGAGGACTGGGGCTATAAGGGGCTGCTAGCATATGAAAAGGAGGCAAAACCAAAATAAAACAGGAGATGTAGGAAGGAAGGAAGGAAGATGAGAAATACACAGAGGGTAAAAAGGAAAAGTGACTGTCGGTGAACTACAGAGGGTTGCAGAGAGTGCCTGGTAAGATGATACAAGGGCATGTAGTGATTGGACAAGAGGGAATGGCTTTAAACTGAAAGAGGGAGGAAGTAGATTAAATATTAGGAAGAAATTCCTCACTGTGAGGGTGGTGAGACCCTGGAACAGGTTGCTCAGAGAAGCTGTGGATGCCCCGTTTATGAAAGTGTTGAAGACCTGGTTGGATAACGCTCTGAGAAACCTGGTAGGTGTCCCTACTCGTGGCAAGGGGGTTGGAACTAGATGATCTTCCAACCCAAACCATTCTGTGATTCTATGATACTGAGGTGTGCAAAGGGTGACTCAGGCAGAAGATTCATTAAATCTAATGGGAAAACTATATTGCCAGACCAACAGTATATCAGAACAGGGCTATGACAGTGTGATCAATTTAATCACACAGCAAAGAGCTTATGGACATATTTAAAGGAAAAGAAATTTAAATAATATCAACACTAGTAAACAAATCCTGACCTCTTCTCTGCTGACATCAGGACTTCATTTGCAGAGGAACTGGACTTCTCAGCATACAAGCTCTTATGTTGCTTCTCCAGGCCCTATCATTTACAAGTAAGGACAAACAGAGGCCATGAACTGCACCCAGGTACTTACTTCTCACAGTTGTACAGATCACAGCAATAGCATGTGTTACTCTTTATTTTCAGCTGGCACTTGCTGTTTAAGGTATGACATGTCACCTGCCAAAAAAGAAGAGACTGACCTTTATTCTCAGTGTTTCAGTGTTGTGTAAATCATCCTACTGACCACAAAAAACAAAAACAAAAAACCACAAACTACTGCAGTGTCAAGTTTTATTACCTGTTGTGCAGAAAGATACTGATATTCCAAAATCTACAACCACAGGCCAAAAGGACATCCCTGAGCTCCTAGGAGTTTTAACCAGGATGTCAGCCCCAGAGTCTGAGTGCATTTGCACTATGAAGCCCAGAGCCCTCAGCACCAGCCTGCAGCCAGGGCTGCCAGAGTTTTTAAGCACTTTGCTGCACTGATGCTATTCTGCTGAGACTCAGAGTCTGCAGCCATGAGATCTGGATCTCTACAGCTGTGATGCAGAGACCATGTCTCCATGTCTTGAGAGATACATTACAGAAAGTCACTGAAGTGGATAAGAATGCCAATCCATTATAGTGGGGAAATGGGCAAAGGAGTCAATTCATCTGAACAACTTCCAATAAATGTGAGCTCTCTCCTTTCGGTAAAAAACTCCTGAAGAAGGAAATAATTAGGAACACCAGAAAGAACAATCTCTAAACTCACAAACAAAACCATTCAGAAAAGATACAAGCACTCCAGTAAATAAGCACCATTTACTGCTGGCTTTTGAATAGAAAACTGAAAAGGTTTATTTGTGTGAGCAGGAATTAGAGGGATGGATAGATGTTAGAACAATAAAGGCAGGCACATGTACACCACTCTATCCAGACAAGAAATCATTTTAATGACTTCTTAGGTGTGGTAAGCATTAATCACTTCTATTTGGCTCTACAGACCAATTGAAATATTTTATATGTAAGGTGCTTTTTTCTGAAAGATTTTTAGCTTATTGATTTTGAAATCCTGGACAGCTCTCAGGTTTTAATAGCTAGCAAGTCAGAAAATATGTTCTTTCTATAGCTTTTTTTTTTTTGATGGAAAAAATGTAACCACTGAGAAGTATTTTGTTCACAAAATGCAAATAAAATATATTGTTGAATGGAAAAGTCCTCATAAGGAAAAAGTAGAAGGAGCATGTCTGCTTTTGAGAAGTTTCTGTCACACAGTTCTACTTAGCCATGAATGTGCTAATCTGTGGAACAGTGTCCACAAGAGGTGTTAAACAAGATGTTTCTCAGCTCCTGAGTTCTAGATCTGTGCATCCTTTTTAGTGTGAAAACTGTCACTGTTGATGAGTCTGTACTCAGATCATGTTTGTTCCCGGCAAAAAGGAAAGCCTTAAACACACACACAGTCAGCACCAGAGAATCTTGCAGCTGGTCTCAACTTGCCACACTCATCCTTAGCAGGATTTGCTTGAGCAGTGGAAGATGGGTGACAAAACTAAGGTTAAAAGGAGATTAAAATGATACCTTGGAATTGTTTTTCAGCCCAGGACAAGGCTATACCTGTGATTTGTGTCTCACAAAAATCAGCTCTTCTATCCCAAAACAGAAGTTAGGTTATAAAATGACAGTCTCAGTGTAGGTTGCAATCTGGAAATGGAGCTCAGAGCTTGATACAGAGACATCACACTTGTCATAAGAACATCTTACCCTGGGATGGGACTTTGTTTCATCAGCTTTGCTCTATTGTGTCTGGATTTACTGGGATTTCACATAAGGGCTTTGTTGGCCTGAAGTCACATTCAGCTGCAGCTGTCCTCAGCCTGAGCTGCAACTTACTGCACAAGAAGTGCATCAGCTCAATCAAGGAAGTGACTGAAAATCACACCTGGCTGCTTCTCAAAGTAGTTTCAAAAATGATCCCGGAGCACAGTGTGCCAATGCATTCACTACCACAGACATTTTGTGGGATGCTCTAAAGCTTTTGCACTTAAGACTTTGGTTTTGACCACCTGTATGCAGTGAAAATGGCCTAGGACCTAGGCCTTTTCCCATTACACATGCATGATTGGGATAGTAGGGCTTTGTAAGATGGAATGGGCTGCTAAAGGGTGGTTTGTTCTGCTGCATGGTTTGGGGACCATTTCTGATAGGAAATAAAATGAGTTTTCCCCTCTCTGAGCAATAAATAGGCCAGACTGCCCCTTTTAATGTAGAAGGGTAGAAGTAGAAAAGAGGAAGATCAGCAAGAACTTAAACAATTTTTTAGCTGCTTCTAGACTACAAGACACGTATTACTGGCCAAGGAAGTTACTGTAGTTGTCTGTTTTTATCACAGCATTTTTAAAACATGCAAAGAACAAGACACTTATTTTTGGGAGAGCAGTGAAAAAACTAAAATAAACAAGTTACTGTGTGGTGTGAGCAAGGATGGTGGAAACAGGCCATTTTTTGGTATTCTGCATGTCAAGACCTATTATTTCCTTTCAGCGACCAGACATTGAGCTTTTTCATGTCCTGGATGTTTGTGACTTTCTATCTTCTCAGCACCAATTGAAGAGATGTTCTTATCTCACAGTAATTGCAAGACAACAGAATTATTTCTGCTTTAATCAAAGAGAACTGAAACAGGCAAACCATATGAGCTGTAGACCACTTACAGGTGAGAGATGGCAATCAAAAGGAAACTTGCACTCAGTAAACAATCTGTTCTTCCTAATTAAATGTTTGCCTGGCATGCAGAGCATGTCCCCTGCTCACTAGCTGGCTAACTTAGGACAAGTAAAAGCCAAGTACAAATGCCATGTATCCATAACTCTGAATTAGCACAAGTTGACTCTACATCAGTGGACAACCAGACAAGCATGTTATTAAAAACTACCCCCACTTTTAAAAGATACTTGTTGGGAGTTTTTTACCAGAATAGAGGAAGGAGTTCTGGGTGGCCCAGCTTTAGACATTCCCAGAAGCAGCAGAGCTGAAGAAAACAATCTGGCTAAAAGCTCAAGGCTGGGGTCACCTGCAAGGAGTTGTGGTCAGTGTGACGCCAACCACATGCTTATTACAGGAATCAGAAGCATTTCTCAGGCTATGTGTCTGAGTGTGCAAGCACACTTTAGAAGAGCATGGAGCAAAACTTAAGACTGTTGTCACACTTCATAAGTTTGTCTGGGCAGGTCTTCAGTCAAGGAGATAATTGAAATATTTTTGTCATACATTTTCTGGAATCAACAATGGGGTGCCCTGGCAGCAAGATTTAAGGAGCTGCTTAACCTGGTAGCATACTTTGCTAAGCTTTCTAGAATTTTTGGTGGTAACATTCCCCATACACCTTTTCTTAGCCATGGGAGGGATAGTGACGAAGGACATCTGGCTTCTTGAAAGTTATACCTCTATCTAGCTGTTCTCAATCCTGCTCAGCCTTTCTTTTCACTCCCACCAATTTACCACAATAATAAAATAGGAAAAGAAACTCAATCTGGACTTCTCAGGAGGCTAGCCATTTAGGTATGGGCACTTTTCCAACCATGTTGATGTCATTGAGATAAAAAAGCTGCATTGAGACCACTGATGTTTTTGGCCTGTGCTGGATAAATATAGAGATTTGAAGTCTTCTGGACTATACAAGTGGATTAATGTAGGTATTTCCTATTCTACTTGGAGTCAACAAAAACCTCCTTAGAGAAAGATGCCAATGTGACAAACACATTCCAGACAACTATTATACAGCATAGATAGACTAGGAATCATTCCAGTCCCAGAGTACTGTACTGGATAGAAACATCAGTGATGATTCACAGCCTCACTGACTATAGTGATTTGCAATCATCAGAGGCTTGGACAAGCAGGGAGTCACTTGAGGGAGAAAGAATAGTGGGGCTTCTCTCTACCCATGACCTACATGCATAGACATGCTGTCAAACATCTACCTCCCTCCTCCCCAGTCCCTCAAAGCACAGCAAAATAAACACATGATGAGTTGAGTTTGTTTACCTCTGTCTGGTAGGCATCATATAGAAATCCTATTCCACTTGAATAAAACTGGCACCTTTTGTTATACAAAGGTCTGGGTTCCTGTAAAGAAAAGAGAAGCCAAAATAGTAATTGGTTTGGAGGAAATGTGAAGGTACCATGTCCCATGTCCCCATTCCAAATGCTTACAGCTCTGGGGAGCCAAAGCCAATGCAGTCACTTGGGTAAGCAGCTCACACACCCCCGTGTTGGCTTTCTTTCCAGAATGGCTCTCCTCTTTTCCTTCCTCAGTCCACCACTAAGCTATGCAAGTATCACTTATTTTTCTCTGTGTTGATCACCTCTGTTAAGATGGCATCACCCTTGGCATTTAACCACTTCTTTGCTTTATGTCAAATGGTACTTCTCTGTGAGAATGGTCCAGCCACTCTTTTTTCTGGTGCAGCGTCTTACCTAGCGCCAAGATTTACTTTGCTGTTTTCAGGATATGGGACTTTCTTTTTAAAGAATTTCAACAATATCCATAAAGAAAACAAAGTAAAATAGGTAATACTTTGAGTGTTCCACTTACAACACACACTTCAAACCCCAAAAGCAGAACAAAGAATAATGAGGAAATTAAGGCATAAAGAGAAGGCAAATTTGCACTGTTTGGTTTTGCCTTATTTTTCATTTATTGCAAAATACGCATTCGCTGCTCATATTTCATGTTTTGCTTGTAACAGTTCAGACAAACTAATATAAAGGAAGAAAACAATGAAATATCCTTGGCCAGATAGAAGATGTGTGTTTCTGACCTTGGCTAATGGCCACTTTGAAGGTTAGAGGGTGCATACCTCACTCAGTTTCAGGACTAGACCATATTTGCCTTGGGAGGATTTGACAACTTGAGTTCTCTGTGATCCAATGTCTATCCCAAAACAGTGTGGGAATTACTTATTCTTGAAAAAAAAAAATAAGAAGAGACCTTTTCAACTTTCTGTCACTTACCTAGTCCTGATCTGTGCCTTCCAAAGGACTCAAGTGCTCCCCAGTATGTCAGTCAGACCACTTCCAAGAGAGAAGGTGGACACCCACTGTCTGCCATCCCCTCTTTCCATACTAACTTACAAGCAAAGGACTATTTAAGTTGTTGGCAGAAATCTGCACTGATTAACTTTCACTGCATTTTAAAGTGTTAAAATCCATCCAGGAATAACACAGAAATTGCAGAAATATCTGCACTACTTCAGACCACTTTTGAGTATTCTATGCTTGTTGGATTATGAAGTGTGAACCGTATAAATCTGCTGACCCAAAACACATAATTAGTTAAAATGCAGAGCTAGGCAGGAATGCAGACAGATCAATGAGTAAAGCTCCTCCATCAGCTTGTTTTCCTTTTTGATTACCCTGGCAAACACAAGGAAGTTTGGACACCAACTCCCAAGGGTTAGGGAAAGTTTAGCTTCCTGCATCTAAAAATATTAATTTATATTACACAAGTGTAAGAAAAAATGCTTCAGTAACTTTTTTTCTCTAGAGGAAAAGCAAATACCACACAAACAGCATGCCATATCTTGAACTAGGTCAACATTCTTCCATAGTCCTGGGAAAGCATTAGCCTTTAGCCATGACTTCCAGGGACAGATCTGGTTGGGAGGTCTAACAGGGTTGTAGTTTCTCTGCCAGAACAAGGAGCTGACAAGAAGAGGAGCTCTGCTGGGTCTCATACTTACAAACAAGGAGAGATCGGTCAGGGATGTGAAGGTGAGGGGCAACCTTGCCCCTAATAATGAGGTGGTAGGATTCAGAATCTGCAGAGGAGGCAGCAGGGAAGAGAAGGATCCCAACCCTGAGCTTGAGGAAAGGAGACTTTGGCATATTCAGTGATCTGCTTGGAAGAATCCAATGGGATACAGTCCTGGAAAGCAGTGAGTTCTGGGAGAACAGGATTCAAGGTTCACCTCTTCCAAACTTAGGAACAGTTCATCCCAACTAGCAGGAAATCAACCAAAGGCAGAATGAGGCCTGTGTGGATGAACAAGGAGTTCCAGATGTAACTCAAACACAAAAAGAAAGTCTACAAGAAGTGCAAACAGGGGAAAGTCACCAGGGAGGAAACTAAATAAATTATATGAGCATGCAGGGATGGGTTTAGGAAGGCCCAAGCCCACCTGGAATTCAATCCAGCAAGGGCTGCAAAGGACAACAAGAAGGGCTTCTATGGGTATATGAACAGCAAAAGAGAGATCAGAAAGAATATGTGCACAATACTGAATAAGGCTGGCAACCTGGTGACAAAAGACATGGTAAAGGCTGAGGTATTCAATGCCTTCCTTGCCTCAGTCTTCAGTGAAGACCAGTGGGAAAATCTGGGGCCAGAAAGACTTACCTTTGTTGGAGGAGGATCAGGTTAGGGAGCATTTAAACAGACTGGTGATACATCCCATTTTCATGAATGACAAGAAAGAGAATCAAGGGAACTGCACACTGGTGGAAGGTGATGGAGCAAATAATCTTGGAAACCATTTCCAATCATCTCAAGGACAGGAAGGTGATGGGGAGTGTTCAACATGGATTTACAAAGGGAGAATCATGTCTAACCAATCCGTTAACCCTCTACGATGATGTGACTGGCTTGGTGGATGAGTGGAGCTTCTCACTCATCTGCTTCTGGATGTTTTTTACCTTCAGTAAGGCCTCTAACAGTCTCTCATTCTTGCAGACAAACTGATGAAGTATGAGCTAAAAAAATGAACAGTGAGGTGGACTAAATGCTGGCAGAACTGCTGGGGTCATGGTGTTGTGATCAGTGACGTGAAGTCCAGCTGGTGGTGACTCAATACTTGTCTACTCCAGGGGTCAATACTAGGGACAATACTGTGCAACATCTTTATTACTGAACGGGATGATGGGTAGAGTGTATCCTCCACTAGCTAGTAGATGACACAAAACTGGAATGAGTGGCTGAAACACCAGAGGACCGTGTTATTGTTCAGAGGGACCTGGGCTGGAGAAATAGCCCACAGGAATCTCTAGAAGTTCAGCACAGAGAAATGTTAAATCCTGCACCTGGGGAGGAATAATCCCATGTACCAGAAAAGACTGGGGCCTGACTGGCTGGAAAGGAGCATCACCAGAAGGTCTAGGGAAATGATCCTTCCTCTCTACTCAGCACTGTTGAAATATATCTGGAATGCTGGATAAAGTGCTGTGCTCCCCCATATGACAGAGATCATGAACATAGTCTGTTAAATAACACACTGGAGCATCTGTCATAAGAGAGGCAGCTTAGAGCTGGGAATGTTCAACCTAGACAAGAGAAGGCTCCCATGTACCGTATCCGTAGGTACCAATACCTGATGGGGGAAGTAAAGAAGATGAAGCCAGACTTTTCTCAGTAGTATCCAGAAAAAAGACTAGAGGCAATGAGCACAAACTGAAATACAGCAAATTCCATTTTATCATAGTTCTGATTTTAGCAAGGAATTTTTCTTTCCCTTCCCCCTGCCCTGTGTGCTCTGTGTATGGGCCATCAGGTGAACAAAAGAATCGGCCTGATCCACTAATGGCCGAGAGATTAGTCTCCTTGACAGTGAAGGGGGGAGGAGTTGGGGGGGGGGCTAGTGTGTGGCTGGAAGGAGGTGGGGAGGAGAGGCTGGTGTGCCAGTGGGCTCAGGACCTGCTGCAAGCTGCAGACGCTGCCTGGTTTTTTTTCTTTCTGTCGGAGGGGAGTTTGCTGCTGCTCTCTGCTCAGCTGTTGCTGGCTGCAGGCCCTGCTTAAAGGGAATCCTAACCAGCTGAAGTTCGTGAGTTTTCTTCCATTGGGAGAACTTTCTGTTTTATTGCTGTTTTTTTCTTCCCCCTTCCCCCTGCCTTTTTCCAGTGTTTTTTCTCTGATATACCCCGGGGAGTGTTGCTTTTTCCCTTTCCCCCAACCCACCTGGCGGCAACCAAGGATCTCACAGCGCCGCCTGGTGACGGGCACTGGACATTACAAGTTCTGCTCCTCCAGTGATCCAACAGCGCCACCTGGTGAATGGTACAGGACATTACAAGTTTTGCATCTCCAGTGACCCGACGGCACCCCCTGATGACTGTGGTTGGAATTGCACCAAAGGGTGTAAAAATTGAACTGTTTAATTTTCCTTTTGCCGGTTTATCAGTTTTGTTCTTGAAGGGGATTATTGGTGGGTATAGGAGTATTGCTTGGTTGTTTTACTTGGTTTTTTCCCATGTTCCTGTTAATACACACATACCTTTTAATAAAGGGCTGTTATTTTCCCTTTTCCATAATTTGTTTTCCTTCAATCGGAGCCTCTTAATTTTGGATTTATAATTGCTTAGAAAGAGAAGTTTGGGTCTTCTTCTCCTAATCCATCCTCAGCAAAAGACCCTTGTCTCATTTAAACTGGGACACATTTAAACATAAGAAGAAGCTTTTTCTAATTTATTTAGGTCCTAAACACTGGAACAGGTTTCCCAAAGTGATTGTGGAGTCTCCATCTCTGGAGATGCTCAAACTGAATACAGTTCTGAGCAACCTGTGATAGCTGACACTGCTCTCAGCAGAGGTGGTTGGATTAGAAATCTCCAGAGGTTCTGCCCAGTCTCAGCAACTCTGTGATTCTGTGAAGACAGTCAGAGTCTATGTCAGGGTATGAGCACACTAGCAAGTTCTCTCAAAGTATCACAGGTTATGACTTTAGCAGACATAACTTAGCACCTGGAGACAGATATTCCCTGACCTTACCTTCTGGGCACTCATGCCCTTATTACAGATTGCTGCTGACTGACACCACCACATGACACTGTGAGGTTGTATCTGACCCTGAATGCTAAGATACTCTCCACAGATGCCTCTGTATCTTGTTAAAAGCAGTGAGAGAGCTATCTAGTCTGCCTCCATCAAGTACAGAAAGACCTCTCTTGACTTACGCAGTTTTAGTACCCTTTACACCTCCTTCCTCTTAGAAAGAAATTAGTCCTTTTATTGGTTTGGTCTTTGAGGGAGAAGACAACATGCTTTTCATCCAAGTGTGCTTGTGACTAAAGCGCACTGTTCCCTGGGGAGAGAGGTGATTGATTAATCCCTACCAGCTATTATAATTTCATATTGC